TAGAAATTACATATAGCAAACCCTACATTAAGCCAATAGGCAAAGGAACAATTAAAAATGCTTTCCTAAATCTGTCTGTAAACACAGCAAGGAATTTGACCTGAGGAACTGAAGGGATTCTCAGAAGAACTATAAGAAAAGAGCATGATTAATCTGTGTATACCTCTAAAAACTATAGTCTATCAGGTACTCAGGAAATAACACAGATCCTAGGGCAAGTAAATAAAGCCATAGATGGAACATAAAAGACATTTCTTTGATGCAGAATTCAGATCTGCCTGCCAGCTAACTTTATGGGAAATTCAAACTCTCTAGTTTCAGCCTAAAACCAGCAATTCTGCCCTGTTGGCAAAATGGGCAAGTCTCTAGATGACATGTAACCAGAGTAAAAGGGCATAAAAGAAAGTGAATTCAGACCAGATGTGGCTGCATTTTATGTCAATGAAAAGACAAAGCAATTCAGCTCATCATTTAGGTCTTTATTATATCGAAATCTAGACAGATTGGAGGGGTGCATGTCACCATTATTTGGTGATGTACTGGGGGACTCAAAGGATAACTTCATAGAAAAACAGTTTGTAATGCTGTGCTTCTGAGAAGGCAGCACTGGAGGTAGTGATGTTGCACTCTTCTCCGAGACACAAAAACAAAAGGCAGCGTCCAAAAAAAGGAGTTCTGCAAACCAGTATAGAGCATGGAGGGTTCCTGCACCACACACAGAGGTAACACTAATTTCAGCCACAAAGATGTCATTACAAGGAGGGGAGCTACTGTCTCATGGCAGCTGCACGCAAAACTGCCTTTGCTGTTCCTCATCCATTTTCACTGGGTAGGCTTCGTTTCCAAGCTTCATTAATCATTCAGTTTTGCAAATCTTTAACCTTCACATACATAACCCAAATATGTGTTGGAAGTGACAGATTCACGTTGCTTTGAGGAAGCACCAAACTGAGACGCCTTTCAAGGGACAGCTCTTGATTTATAGAATTGCACAGAATCCCCAGGAGAGCTGCAATCCAGCACTTCAAGAAAGGAGCCTGGGAGAAAAAAGATGTTATTCACTTATTCACAGACCCAGCCTGAAGAAGTCACTTGTTCTTCTAATGCCTCAGTTTACTGTTGACACCACAGTGACATCACTGTGAACTGCTACCATAGTTCATAATAATTACAAAAGGGGCATTAAGAAGTCACTCAGCTCAGAGGCTGAAGTTCGCACACTGCTGTAAGCCTCTCATAGCGACAGTAGCACTCTTGCGCTGTGTACCGTCCACCTACAGTGCGCTTAACCTAAACATAAGGAGTCTGCAGAACAGCACACACACACACAGAAATGCACAAAGGCATGTAGTTTGTCCATATTAACACGGCAAGCCTGTGACACATGCAGGAAGGTAGCTGCTGATTCAATGTCTTAGCTAGTCACCCTGCTTTTGAAACGCAAAGGGTTATTTTCTCAGTACTCTGGACTTGAGGTTTGCACAGTACTAATGCTTCAGCTCCATGAACATTCTTTGATCTTCCTGTGCTGCTTTTAAGCTATACAATCCTATTCCAGGCATGGAGGCAGATTTGTTCCCAGTCCCATAATTATTAGGCTGGATCAGGACACCTGTCGGGTTCTTATCATGGTCCTACAAGCAGCTAGGCCAGCTAAACTGAAAGCAGGTACTGGATTCAGAGAGGAATGACTGTCAATAGTACCATTTCAGCAAAGTTTGGCTGGTGAAGGCCGATTTCAGATGCCCTGGCATTGCTCAGAGCAAGTCTGGAGTGTATACATGATTCAGTGGGGAGTCCTCATCCCTACAGTCAAAGAATCCCTACCACAAGAAAAACTCATGTGCAGAAAGCCAGGGTCTCCACATGGCTGCATGGTCTCCCTCTGCTAAGCAGAGTCATGCAGAAAGGCCTATAGTGCAGCCTCTGAAATGGGAACTGAGAAGGACCAACACTGCAGAGTTGAGTGCAGGGAGTAAAGGTTACTGAAAAACTGGCAGCTTGGTCATGTTATAACAATCACTTGGATTTGTGTTAGAAACTTCATGGTTGAGGGATGTGCACCGCCTCTATTCCCTATTCCCAGAAGTCTGTCTCCAGGCACTGTTGTCAATCTCAGAGTTCATTTCCTAGTTAAACAAACAGCAATTAATTAACAAAGACAGGGAACGCCTCGAGACACTGTCTCCAACTTGTCTTAGACAGGCCATGTGACACTGGAGTCCCTGTGTTTTGTCTCTTAGCTAAGACGTATAAATCACAAGAGGAATTACAAAGCATGACAATACATATATGCAAAAGCAGAATGGGCCTGGGCCTGGACCACTGGAGAAACATACTTTGCCCCTTTGCAGTGTGAAGCCAGGCTTGTTCACAGAGGATGCTCGTTCACTTGCACTGCTGAAACACTTTCATTTGCTCTGCTATGCCTGGTAGAGGAAATGAAAGAGAAAACTCACTGCGTCTGGTATGTTCCTCTAGCAGTGGGGACAACCACGAGGAGCACTCTGTGATCTTCAAGAGATGCTCATAAACTGGAGCAAGGAGGAAAAGGACAATGAAATCCTTCCAGCAGGAGCAAGAAAGCATTGTCTTTCTAGTGCATTTTGTTAAATGGGAGTGCTGTTCTTGAAAAGCAATTCAAAGAATCTCTTGGCTCTCATAAGCTGGAGGGAACACAACATTAGGGGACATAAGCTTAGACTCCTGATGCTAAAGAAGAGATGCATCAGATATCTAAGAGAATGAACAGTTCATCATTTCCTTCGCCTCTTGCAGTCTTCAGTTGTTTCCTGGTAAAAGTACACAGAAATAAGTTAAAGATGCAAAAATAAGGTCACAAAATGGTTGAGATTGGCAGGGAACCTTTGGGTCCATCTTACCCAACCCCTGTTAAATCAGGGACACTCAGAACGTGTTGCACAGTCTCATATCCAGGCAGCTTCTGAAGATAGCCAAGGAGGGAGACTCCATTTCCTCTCTGGTCAGCTCATGCCATTGCTATGTCATGTGCACAGTGCAGAACTGTTTCCTGCTGTTTAGGCAGAACTTCTTGTTTTCCAGTTTGTGCTCATTGCCTCTTGTCCTGGCAAAGAGCACTGCTAAAAAGCGTCTGGCTATGGTCATTGTGTTTATTTTCTGTACGTGAAGCCTCATTCATGTCATTCATCAACCCATCATCAACAGAGTTCTAGGACTTTTTCCCTCATATTCACTTTGATAACATACATCTCAATCATCATTGGGGTCCATCACCTCCAGAGTGAAAACCCATGGAGGAGGAAGCCAGGGGTCCTTGGTCTCCTCACAAAAGGAGAAGCATTTCCTTTGCTTACATGTGCAGTCAGACATTATTAGCAGCACACTTTGACTGGCCCTTTGTTCTTCTGGAATGGGTAGAGATGAATTTGCTTGTTTGAGCATCAGGTTTGAATTCCTTGCTTTTGTAATCAATACCTAAGGTTGTTAAAACAAAAAGAATCTTACAAATATAATTTCTCTTCCATCACATATTCCTCTGTTAATTTTTGGATATTGGGTGGTGAAATCATATTGATTATGTTTTGGTTGACCTTGCAAGCGGGTTTTTTATGTTCCAAGTATCCTCATGGCTGTACTTAAGCTTCCAGCATTTCAAGGAATGTTTTGTTTTTTCCTCATGATGCTTTCAGTTCACTGCAGGCAAAATGAACCAGAAACTTTGGGAGGAAAGAGAACAGAATGGGGCATCTAACAGATGAGACACTACATTATCATGTGTCCAAAGGGACACCTGCATCCAAAGGGATTGCTAATGGGGAAAAGGGACAGAGAGGAGAAAGTCTATATTTATGTTCCACTGGCTTAGACATTTTTACTGCTCAAATCTGCTATTACAGTGTAAATCTTAATTGTTTATCTGAATTATCAAACTTGATTTGGGAAGTCAGCATTTACACTATTTCTAAGGAGTCATGATTAAACTTAGTGTTTCTGACACCTACCAGCCCTCTCAATACAGAATCAGTGGAGAAGGTCTAACCACAAATTTCCCACCTGACTGTTGTGCTAAGGGACTGCATTACATCTCCACAAGTTCCAGTCTCTCCTGGTGGTGGTTTCAGAAACAGGATCTGTAAGCAATGGGTTCCCAGAACTGCTGACCTGACACACGATGTCATTAAGTCTTGCTACTAAACGTGTTTCCCCCTGGGCCCACTGTTGATCACTGAAGGCTACTTTGCTAATTCAAAACTACTGTTTTAGTTTCCTATTTCAACACTGCTAAATAAGTCAAATTTCCTTAGTAGATTCACTGTCGGAGAATACTTCCATGCTTTGTTCATAAGGGTGAGTGATGACGTAGGACTCAAATACCCTAATTAGTGATTTTCACCTTACAGTTACACATTTTTCTTCTTTCTAAAGTTTTTAGATCTGAGATGTTTGCCAGTTAAGGGATGCTACTGAGATTTGAGACAGTATTCTCTGTGGGAATAATAAACTGTTTGTTTTTTGAAGATATTTATGGCCATTTTATTTAGCACAAAGTAAAGCTGTTTGCCTTCTTTGCTTCCGCAGGTTTTACAGCAGTCAGAACACTTTGGAATATGACCATTTTGATACAGAATCCCCATTTCTATTTAATTGAGAGTACTAAACCCGTCTTACAAGCCTCAACAGCCATGAAGCTATAGCTTAATCGAAGTTAAGCACTTTCCACTTCTCTGACAAATTCTGGACCTGTAAAAATCAACAGATATTTTCTGGATTTTTTTCTAGAAGAAGACAGTTTTTCAAACTTGGCATCTCCCTTACCATTTGTTACATTGTACTATGCTATTAGTGTATGAATAGCAGAATACCTTGTCATGGAGAGGACTTCAGGATGAGTAGTAAAGAATAAAAACGTGGTCCCTATCTTTATCGAAGGAATATGTCAGTTCTGATTGCTCTCTTAGTCTGCTTCCCATCTTGGCATGACACATCTCTTAATGATCTCTGGGTTTTGCTGTTTACAGAAAGAAGGCCAGCCTAGAGCTTCCCTCATTGCCCAGGAACTGATGTCTTCAGAAAAAGCGTGAGTTTACTTTCACAGTCTGTCTGTTGCTCTCTTAAAACTGAAGCTATGCAGTCCACCCTTATTTATTCAGCATTGGTTTAATGGCAATTAATAAAACTTTGTGTCTTTTTCCAGGTATGTGGAGATGCTCCAGCTGCTACGTATGGTAAGTAAATCATTTTAATCATTGAAACCTAATTGTCATCTAAGAATCACAGAATCTTAGCTGTAATTTAGGAGACATAAAAGCATTGAAGGGGCTGAGATGAATTTGAGGAAGAATGGCTTACACCTGCACAATGCTTTTTGAAGCACTGTAAAGGAATATGCCACTAATCTCCTCTTGCTACAGGTTCCTCTTGCTAGCATTTCTCATTCACAGGGAAAAGGGCTGGCCAGCAGCACTTAAGGGACACTGAGACTGGTGTAATGTGCACAGTAGGTCCAGATCAAAGAAGAGGGTGGTGAGGGTACACCCTGTTTCTTCAGAAAGAGTTAGACAGGAGCAGAGCTTAGAGACATGGGAGGTTGGTTTCAGTGGATTCACTCAGATTCCTATTAAGCTGCTTTTTTCTGATAGTGCAATTCCAGTAATATTCAGTGTGGTCCTGCTTGGAATAGGGCAGCTGTACAAGCTGGGGCTCACACTCTAACACAGGTAGTCACAGTGAACAAAACTAGAGCTCTAGGCTCAGAAGTTAATGAGGCAACACACACATGTCTATCAAGAATCACTTGAAATGCCTGTATAATATAAACCTGCTAGTGGCTTTGTTGCAGAAAATTTTCTGTCCCTGTAGCAGATCTGCCACTGCCTAGGTAGCAGTGAACACCTTGGATCTAAGTTATGAGGCAGTAGGCAATGACAGCCATCAAAGCGAGCATGCTTACCACTTGGAAAGAAATTGCCTGAGAAGGCAAAAAAATAACCCCAGGTTATCCTTGTGACTCTCAAGGAGAAAAAAGTAATGAGGTCAGCACTGCACTGTTATTTGCTCATTGGACCTCACAGGTAAGCCACAAAAGCTGAAGAGCCTTCTCAGACATTAGCAGCAGAGACTTGAAGGAGAGCAACCTTAAACATGACAAACATCTTGCAGACAACTGCATTTCAGCAAATCAGAAACTGCCCAGCTGGAAACCATACTTTTAGCTGCTAAGCTGGAGTCCACCATTGTTTTCGTAAATTGGTGGTAAATGGCCTGTCCATTTGTCTTACCTATTCCCGTTTTCTCTGACTGCTACGTAGCCAAACACATTATTTGATACTAGTGAAACATGCTTGCATACAGTTTCCATGTTTCTACAGCATTCTGATTTGGAGATAGCAGTTCTTCAACATAACCTACAAAGATGTTTTCAGGCAGCTAAACAAACAAAACGTGCTGTAGAGAATATAGTGAAAGTGCTAAGTTGTAGCCTGAAACAGTGATAAAGTACCTGGTAGAAAGCAGGGCCAGCCCAGGGGAGCTCAGGTGCATGCAATGTACATGAGTGACTGGAAAGGTGGAGCCAGGATCCACCCCCTCCCAAACCTCATTTAAGGGTTGGCTGTGGAGGTAAAGATATTTTGCCAGAGATTTGTGTGTATCTGGGGCCTTCCAAAGGTAAATGGCTTTTTTTTTTCTCCTTTGTTTTTGTGTCTAAAGCTGTTGCATTTGGGCTTGTTCTTGTTTGCTGTAGCTAAGGTCTTTGCTACTGTGCTATTATTGCTGTGCTTTTTGTTACATTATTGCATTATGGGGACTTAATTCAATAGCAGGGGTGCCTTTATTTTCTTGAAGAGCTAGATCAAGTTTAGACTATTGCTTGCAGTGTTGGAAATAGTGGTGAAGGTACCTTCAGCTTCACTGTGCATTTCTTTGAAGGAATTAAAGGCAAGCCTGGTGTTTAGTTACTTGCTCTGTTTGGTATGTCATAGAAAGCATGTGAATTCAAGACTGAACCAGAGTACATGTATAGTATGCTGTACTTTAAAAGAGTGTCTAGGAGAAGCCTCTCCTTTGCAATATGTTCTACCTGACACATCTTGCATATTTTCCTATATAGTGATGTGCTTTATTGCAATTAGCCATGCTGTTAATGGCTGCACACCATTATGGTTCCTATAGTGCTGTGTTACTGTTAGGATGGCTTTCTTGCCTATGCTGTAACTGGTCCAGGAAAGGGATGCTTCTAGGCTTTCCCAGTCCCTTTAGGATTTTGCCTTCTGCTCCCTCTGGGGAATATAGTGAATTTGGCTCTGAAGCACGTGTTTAAGCAAAGTAGCTTAGGCATTTTAATAGCAAACCTATTTTCTGCCTGTAGAAATTACTTGAAAATAATAAGAAACATAATTTTTGCTCTTCTACGCTTGTGTCTTCAACGTGGGGTAGGGGTTCTAGTTTATAGGTACAAGTTCCTGCTGTTCCCCACCCGAGGGTCTGCCCCTTCTTCACTCAGGTGTGTTAGTGGCACCTGAGCTCCATGCATTACCCAGAGCTCCTTGTCTGGTGCTCAACCATTGGTTCAGGCTGTGACCTGGCAATTCATGTGCAGCCTTCAGAGAAATTGTCACTGTTTTATTGATGCTTCATATTAAGTTAGGATACTGGTAACTGTTAAGTTATAACTGGGAAAGTTCTTCTATTTGAGTAGATAATCATTTTTATTTGGAAGCACTTGTTTGGGTTCTGAATAGGTTATAGTCCTCCATATACTGTCCAGATTATTCTACTGAAACCTGTCTTGCTGGAATTTTGTTGCTCTGCTTGTCCATCCCACTGGAATGCAAGGATTTTCTCAGTGTTCTGCATCTGCTCATTATTTCCTTAGTTGTAAAAGTTAGAGGACCAAAAGGGGAGTTAAAATACAAGATGAGCCTGAAATAAACATTTGAATGCAGTAATTTGTGCAATTAAGCTACTCAGGAGTTGCGAAGTGGCAGTTTCCCTGTCTCATTTTCCACCCTCTAAAGTTAGAAAACTCAGTCTCTTTCAAAATGAGCTTTTGAGTATAAAATTTTGGTTAATGCTTTTTTCCTTCAGTGGGAAAGTATCCTTCCTCTTCCATCACCAAATGCACGTGTTCAGTTAGAGGCTACTAGATGCTTTCCAGTGGACTTGGCAAGAAAAATTCTCATAAGATTTGACTGCCCCTGAGTTGGCTTTCTTAATTGTGAGGATGTATGAATAGCACCTTGGTTAGAGACTGAGGGAGAAGAATGTTTTTACTCTTAACTGCTAGTTCATACACTCCATAGTTCAGAAGAGGATAAAAATCTCTGGGGAATGGGATCAGGGATTTCATTTGTATTTTTTTATCGGGTGCCTTCTTTACTCTGCTGGTGTTCGCATGACATCTAAATGCTGTAGTGGCATTCAGAAATAACCTGCAGGTTTCTCTGTTGCAATCACATTTGATCTAGAAAGCACTGGTGATGGAAACTTTACCTTTCCTGCACCATTTACTGTTGGATCTTCATATTCACCTGTTCTGAATATGACACTAAGCAACACCTAGAGAAACCCTACTAATTTCACAATGTGTAAGTCCCTCAGACTGCAGGGGTATTTTGCCTGGAAACTTCAGCCAGGCTGAAGTTTCCCAGCTGTCATAGTATTAAAGGTTATGATGAACTAATTCCTCCTTTCTGCACATTTGAGTGGCATTAGAAATAATCACGTCAGTAGAAAATGTCACTTTGGTGCACACTCAGTTCTGGCTCAGGTCACACTGGCAGATGTCACAAGTAATCACAAGTGGTCACAGAGTCAACAAACTGCCCTCAAGGTGCAACACCCTGTTGATGGCAAGCTAGGACCGGAATTTTCCTTGTCAGCGTATCTCAGCTCAAACACTTATCTCTGTTTCACCTTGTTCTCATCACCACCTTTTTCAAGAAAACAGATTCAAAGTGCTCACTGTCAAGTCTCAAATACTGTCTTAAATAAACCCTTATGTTGGTAATAAAGACAAGGAACCTAAACTGCGCTGTAGCTGCTTTCAGGAAGGAAAAAGCTTCTCAAGCATGCTGCAGTAGCAGTTTCCCATCTCATTTCCAGGCTTGACTGGAAAAGATATTCAGAATAACAGAACCTTTTTGGCCTTTCAGTGTAGACTTCAGTAAATTGATTTACTGCCGAAATGATGGTATTTTCATACACCCACTCTGTTACTGAACTGAAAAAGTGGAAGTACTGTGTTATCTCACAATGCGATATCAGTTGGTGTGGTAGTAGTGATAATAACCTAAGTAGTTAGCTGTTATTTGCCCCAGTTAAAGGCAGTGTAGTTAACTGAAGCTGAGAGTTAAGAATTAATTCTGGAATGGACAGATGGGACTGGTGGGTCCTGGCAGTCCAAAGAAGTCCCTGATCTCTTGTTACCAAGTTGATTAGCCTTGCCTTTGCCTGTTGTATCTTGCTTTTTTTTTTAGTTGTCCCAATAATGTAGACTGCACTTCCCAACTTTTTCTCAGTGCTTGGTTCTAAACAAAATTCTTGCAGATTGCTTTCTAGTATTTCACCCATCAACTCAGAGGAATCTGGGTTATTTGCTTTCCTTCAGCCAGTTCATTTCCAATGACTTTATTAAAAGTATACAGGTCAAAGTCAGTGTGACCTTGATTTAATCAAACCAAAGTGGACTATTTAATGTAAAATATGGATCCTCAGTGAATCATAGTCTGTGAGCTGCTTATGGCTAAACATTGCCAGGTTTCACTCCTCCATCCATCATTACTCTATGTACTTTTAAACTTCTTAATTGACAGAAGTCAGACTCATGAGACATATTGTGGTAAGTCCCAGTGCAGCCTAGGAAAGATCATAAGTTTGTCTCTAAATGTTCAGAGAACAAATTTTGAATTTTTGGTAATAAGTTTTATGTTCACTAGATCCTGATGGAGGAATATACTCAACCTGTCTCACCCTATTTCAGGGCTAGATAAGAAGCAGCTTGGCACCTTTCAATGCACTGTGCAACCCTAGAGGTTTCTTTTTATCAAGCCCCAGTTTACTTTCACAGCGCATTTGGCCATACCATATGTGAGGCCAGGAGATGGTCTCTAAGTGGAAAAATCCAAATGCCTTTTTCTAGAAACTCAACCAGCGGAATTACACTTTCAATAGTTTTTAAAACCAAATGGATTTTTTTCTGGAGAACTGGCTTCTGTAGGCAGAGAGACAAATTTTTAACACACCTTTGAAAAACTTTAGTTTCAATAACTCACTGTTTATGGAGTAGCGTGGTAAAAAAAAAAAAAGCATTTGCAGCATGAATCTCTCCAGTCTGCTTGGGCACTGAAGCAGTTCTTCACACCAGATTTTGGACTGAAATGGAGGTCAGCTCTGAAGAACAACTCCTAAAAAAAAAAAAGCAACAAAATAAGGTCTTTGAGGTCTGTTCCAACCTAAACCATTGTATAATTCCTGATATGAAAAATCAAAACGATTAAAAAATAAAAAAAGCCTGAGCAGGGCTCTAACACGAAGTCTGCTGTGACTTGATGCTTGGGCTTTATATGTGGTTATGAGCTATCTGACCCTTCAGGAGATCACCAAAAGCCCCTTTTGGGTCTCTTTTTTCCTGAGGAAGCACTGTTAGTGTATCCATAACAGAGTATTTCTGTAACTGAAGTTGTTTTCCTAAGAAAGCCATATTCTGTAAGTCTTGTGGTCTTGTCTATAGACCAGATCAGTCTAGACTGTGTCATATCAGTATGCTCCCTCCTGACGTCATAGCCAGTGGACATATGTATATTCAACTAAGTCCCTACTGAAGTGTTTTTAATGGTGAACTTTAAAAAAGTATTAGCTAAGATTTTTTTCCTTTATAACTATTGGAACACTTGTCCTTGTTGAAACACAGTAGTACAGCAGTTCTCAAGTTACCATGTTAAGAAACAACAACCAAAACCTGCTCCAGATAAACTATCTCTTCCAACTATAGACACAGAATAAGCATTCATCTTAAAAGACTGACTGACTTATACAAGCTGGATTCTCATTTGTCACAAAAAAGCACACTTATAGAAGTGATGTTAGAGTCTGCATCTTTCTTGGGCTTCATAGACTGTATTCTTAACTTGCATGTCTGAGCATTTGATTAACATCCTATATAGCCTTAGTGGATCTCTGCCATTCCCAAAAAAGCAGCCTGCCAGTGGTATGTTCACTGCACAGAAGTTTAACACATGTTGGAGCTGTTAGACAATCTCTTCAGCACTAATCATAGACCACAGCTGTAGCCAGAAGTTTTTGGATGTTTCAGGAGGGTTTTGGATGAAACCTACAGTGACGGATCTGGTGATTTGGATGTACTGCTGTTAGTGCTGCTCTGATCTGATGGGAGGTAGGGCCTTCTGCATATGGTGTGCAGTTGTACTGACTCTTCTGGCTGAAGATACTGTTTAGATTTCTCCACCTGCTTTATATGGAGCTGTTTTTTATCCAAAGAGTGTTTTGATGAACAGCTGATATGTGGCTGCAGCTTGTAGAGTCAATCTAATGATCTAAGGCAAAAAATATCTAAGTCATAGTAATCAACACCATCAGGCTAACATCAGTGGAAAAATACTAACATAGCTTCCCTACTTGGCCCCAAGACTGACCCAATTTGAGATACTAACTAGAACAACGCACTTGTGTAGGCTGGCTAGCAACAAGGTAGAACACTGCAGTCCCATAGACTTACATTCACATAAACACAAAAGAAAGTCAGATAAGGTCAGATGGTATTTTTATAAGGCAGGAAGCTTTGCAACCTGGTCTGCAGCTGCTGTGCCAAAACAAGTCACCAGGAGTTTTCAAATGTCATAGTTAATGTGGTCTCTCTATTGAAGTTTTGGTTATTTACTCACTTTTTCATTCGCATCTCCCTCATCTCATGCAAAAACTCCAGGTACTTTGTGGCTTATTGGGATTCAGAAGTAATTGGAGAAAGCACTCACAAAATGGGTTCTGAGCCACTCTACATGACTGCTCAGTTCCTGCTCTTATCACAAAGTGGGATGCGCTTAGGTTTCTAATTATTCGCTTATTTTCATAGAAAAACTGAGGTACAGATATTTTACCCATAATGATCAGACTACCAGAAATGGGAAATTCAACTCTAAACTCAGCTGACACTGGTGAAACACACACCTGTCTGGCTCAGTTTCAACTCCTTGTAGAGAATACAAAGCATAATTAAGCCTGCAGTAGTGCTGCAGGACCATCCTCAGACAAGCACAGGATACTGTGCTAATGCTATTCAATTAGCTGCACCTTACAGAAACACTGAAGTATCAGGTGCTGGAATTACTGCCATCTAATTTTATTGAAAGAAAGTTCCTGTTTCGGGTTGCCAGATAGGTCTATGAAGATAAACAATCTGTTTACAATGTCCTCAGTCATGGGAAAGGTGGCCAGGATCCACAACAAATAGCTACGCCTCTGCATAGCACTGGCATTCCTGCCTTGCTGTTTTGCATGTGCACTGCCTTACGCCCTGTTGCCACTGTTTTCATTCAGACCTCCATAAAGCCTGGCAGATCTGAATGCCTAAGAACCTCTTGCCACTATAAAGAGGGGATCTGTCTGGCAGCAGGAGGCAGGGGAAACATCAGTGTCTAGAAGGAACTTGGAAAGAGGCAGGGCATTGCAGCAGCCAAAGTTTCCTGAAGTATATCCAGGTTCCAGTCAGGGCTCCTTCACAAATATGAAGCAGGGAAGGTGGGTTCTACAGGAATCAATATCGAACCTGAAAACTTTTCAGCATCCAGCTTTTCAGAATCCAGAGCTCTGGATGAGGGAGATTTTAAGTAATCTTTTGGATAGAAACAAATGCTGTCTGCTCTTGGAATGATTTTCTGATGCCTGGAGAGCTAATACAAACTATGCCTGCAATTTCAGATGGGTGCCTTATTTTCCTAATTTCCAGGTCTAAACTGGGAAAACATTTTACCATGCACTATTAATCAAGTACTTTATTATGAGCCAGAATAGAATAGAGTAGAATAAAATAGTTCAATTGAAAGCAACCTTCATATGCCACCTAGTTCAACTGCCTGACCACTTCAGGCTAATTGAAAGTTAAAGCTCACTAATGAGTGCATTATATAAATGCCACTTGAATGCTTGCAGGCATGGGGCATCAACCACCTTGCTGAAAAGCCTGTTCCAGGCTTCTGTTCCAGACTTTTTTCTAATATCCAGGCTGAACCTCGTATATCTTTGTGCCATTTCTGCATGGCCTGCTAATCAGTTCCCAGGGAGAAGAGACTGCCACCTCCCTTCTCTGCTTCCTTCCTCAGGAAGTTACAGAGAGCAAAGAGGTTGCCTCTTGGCCTCCTTTTCTCCAGACCAGACATCACACGTGTCCTCAGCCTCTCCCTGTAGGATGTGCTTTCTAGCTCTTTTACCAGCACTGTTGCTCTTGTCTGGATGCTTTCAAGAATCTTAAAATCCTTATTAGATTGTGGAGACAGGAACTGCACACAGTATTTCAGGTGAGGCTGCACCAGTGCTAAATATAGCAAGAGAACTGCCTCTTGACCTTCTGGCTGCACTGTGTTTAATGCATGCCAAAATGCAGTTGGCCCTCTTGGTTTCCTGGGCACACTGCTGGTTCATGTGGAGTCTGCTGTCAACCACCTCCCTAGCTCCCTTTCCAAAAGTGGATACATTTCAATATTGAGGAAATTATGCAATTTATTAACCACTTCAGGGTAAAATACATGTTTCAGGTGATGAAAAAAAAAGTCTCAGTTAAGTTTTATGTGGAAAATGATTTGTTTCAAAGCTTAAACTTGCAGCTTCTTTGTCTCTTCAGATTTGTATCTGGAGATGAATGATGTAATTTATAGTACAAGATATGTAGAAGTGTTTTTTCTTTCATATTGTGCATCTGTGAAGTGATGGGAGATTCTCATCTTTCATTTAAAAAAAAAAACATATAGTTTCTTAACCAGAAATGAGATCAACTGCACCCAGAAAAGCAGGAAAAAATAGGGAAATAAATAAGGTAAACTCACTGCATACACAAGCGTCTGATGGCTTTATCAGGTGAGATGTTCAGTTCTGGATTGACAGTGTTGGGGAATTTATCTGCAAATGCATATAAACAGTGGATGCAAGAAAATATGTGGTGATCTCCTTGCTCTACTGCAAATGATCTATCACTACTGATAGTGTATCTTAGAATTCCCAGAAAGTGTAGTTCAGGAGTCAGAAAATTGTAATGGTAACTTCATAAGATCTCTTAAGTCTGTCTGCCTAATCTCTGTGTTGTTGCTTGCAGGATTTATATGAAGGTATCTTGAAAGCACTTGAAGAAGAAGATGAACAGGAAGTAGTTGAACTCAAGAAGGGCTTAAGCGAGCTCCCTGAAATGTATGAACTGCACCAAGAGATCTTGGGAGAACTGGAAGAAAGAGTCCTTAAATGGTAAGTAAGTAATGGCATGGTTTGTTCAGCCTGGAGAAGAGAGGGCTGTGGGGTGACCTCATTGTAGCCTTCCGGTTCCTAGGAGGAGCCCAAAAACTGGAGGGGAGTCAACTCTTTTCAAAGGTAGATAATGGCAGGACAAGGGGAAATAGTTTTAAGTTGAAGGAGGGAAGGTGTAGGCTGGATATCAGGGGGAAGTTCTTCACCAAGAAAGTGGTGAGGTGCTGGAACAGGCTGCCGAGAGAGACTATGAATGCTCCATCCCTGGAGGTGTTCAAGGCCAGGCTGGATGGGGCCCTGGGCAGCCTGGTCTAGTATTAGATATGGAGATTGTTGGCATGCAGCAGGGAGGGTTGAAGCTTGATGATCCTTGAGGTCCCTTTCAACCCAAACCATTCTATGACAGCCTTGACATACTCTCCTCAGCCCATTGTTTTCTTGGTCCCCCCTAGCAGAAGCTGGGATAATTGCAGGAATGAAAAGAAGCTGAACTACTGTGGCAGATCTTGCATACAGGAAGGAAGTAAACATATAGGCTGTCAGGCTGAGAAACTGAATACTGAAACACTCACACTTGTGCAGTGCATAGCCCACAGTTCTGCGATGGCCTCGTCAGTGTAAGGACAGCCTGCTTCATATGCATTATCCTCTTGCCTTTGTCTTGTGTATTGAGTCAAGTCAGTTCACAGTCTTCACCAAGAAGCTTCATACACATCTGTGGAAGGCAGGAACAACTTCAAAAATCTGAACTGATCCTAAAGAAAAATCTCCATTTGCAGAAATCTACACACAGGTGTATAGCTCTCAGACAAGCACAGCTTACTCCCAACATCAACATGGGACTGCGCACAGACTAGGCTTTCAAGCCAAGCAGACACTGCTTGTCTGCTGAGGGACGCCAGCTAAGCCAAACACCCTTACACAGAACAAAGCCTTTCCATTTTGTAAGCAGTCTTGGTTAACTGGGGAGGTCTTGGTTGACTGGAGTCTAGTGAATGTGACACCCATCTGCAAGATGGGCAAGCAGGGAACTAAACACCTGTCTGTCTGACCTCAATACCAGGAAAGGTTATGGAGCAGATAATCCTAAAGGTCATCAGGCAGCACACAGTGGACAACTGAGTGATCATATGCACCCAAACATTAAATTAATGAAAGGCAGGTTCAGTCTTAACTTCATCTCCCTCTATGCCAAGATGAACCACTTAGTATATGAGGGAAAGGCTGTGAATGTATTTTTCCTTGCTCTTAGTGAAGCTGTTGTCCAAAGAATTCTCCTGAAGAAACTGGCTGTTCATGGCTTTATCAGGTTGTACAGTTCACTGAATGAAGATCTGGCTGGATATCTAGATTTAGAGGGTCACAGTAAATGAGGCTGAATCCAGTTGGTGGCCAGTCATCAGCAGTGTTCCTCAGGGCTCAGTCTTGGAGCCAGTTTTGTTTAATGTTTTTGTCAAGTATCTGGATGTACCAGTATGTTCAGTATGTATCAAGTATCTGTATGTTATCAGATGAGATGTTTCCTCAGGAAGTTTGGAGATGACATTGATTTAGGCAGGACTGGTAATGTGCTTGGGGTAGGAAGGCTCTGCAAAGGCATCTGGGTAGGCAGGACTGATGGGCTGTAGCCAATTGTATGGCATTTGTCAGTCCTGTACTTGAATTGTAACATTTCCATGCAGCAGTACAGGCTTGAGAAAGAGTGGCTGGAAGGTTGCCCATCAAAAAAGGACTTGGAGATACTGGTTGACAGTCAGCTTAATGTGAGCCATCCGTGTGCCTAAGTGGCCAGAAAGGCCAGTGGCATCCTGGGCTGCATCAGAAATGTGTGGCCAGAAGGACAAGAAAAGTGATTGTCCCTCTACTCTGCACTGGTGAGACTGTACTTCAAATATTGTGTTCAGTTTTAGGTGCATCACTGTCACTACAAGGAGAATATTGAATTGCTTGGGCATGTGCAAAGAGGAGCAGCTAAGCTGGCAGAGGGACTAGAAAACAAGACTGAACTATATAAAGGAATTGGGTTTATTTAGTCTGGAGAAGAGGCTGAGGGTAGACCTCACTGTACTCTACAACTACCTGGATGACCATTGCAGCAAGAAAGGTGCTAGTCTTTTTTCTCAGGTGACTACTAGAAGGACATGAGGAAACAGTCTCAAGTTGTGCCAGGGGAGGTTTACGTTGGATAGGAGGAAGAATTTCTCCATGGAGAGGGGAGTTGAGCATTGGAAAGGGTTGCCCATAGAAGTAGTTCAGTCCATGTCCCTAGAGGTATTTTAGAGATGTGTGGACATAATACTAAGAAACATGGCTTACCAATGGGATTCAGTAGGTCAGGTTGATTTTTTTTTGGACTTAGTGATCTCAAAGGTCTTTTCCAACCTAGGTGATTCTGTAAGAGAATAAGAACCTGCCTAGAACAGACAAGACTCCAAATACCATTCAGCTGAAGAAACATCTGACTTAATCCAGGATGCCAAGCTCCAGCCTATCAAACTCCCAGAATAAGTGTTTGAGAAAATCACCTCTGCGGTCCCAAGCTGACTAAATCTACAGCAGCCAGCATAGTCCCTTGCTTAAGCTGATCTCCTCTATGACAATTGATGCAGCCCCAAGTTATCATGCTAGGTTCCAGCAGGCAGTATCAGTCTTAGTGGCTGATCCCATCCCTGTGCTGCCATTGAGTTTATGAAGTCAGTTGTATCAGGAGAGCTTTTCAGTAATGATCCTAAATGCAGGGCATGAGCCTTATTTCAATTTGAATCACATGGTAAGGAAAGAGAAGGCTACAGAGAGCTGTATGTTGGTTTGTGTCCAGCATGGGGCTACTATGAATAGTGGAAGGATTAAAAAAAAAAAATAAAAAAATCAACACTTATAGTTTATAGAATCTTAACACAGAGATGCTTCTAGCTGTGATCTAGAATGACTTGTGCCTTACAGAAGTCATATCCTTACTCTAACAGCATGTTGACTATTCCTCAAGGCAGAAGGAACACAGATGAAATGCCTTAAGCTCCTCTACAGTACAGAGCTACAGGGCCCCCCAGCCACTGTGGTATGGGAGGAAAAAAAATGGGTCATGCTGCCTCAAACCAACAGAATCACATATGGCGTAGGGCTGCACTCATAGAGGTTCCTAGGTCACCACTGCCCATTAGGTGTACAGTAAGTCATTCCTTCTGCCTGTGCTCCCATTGACATTTTGTTGCCCTGATATCCCCCAGGAAATCACATTTGTCTCTCAACTATGATTATTCTTGTGACATCAGTTTTTTATCCTCTTTTCTCCTTCATAAATATTTCAATGTTGTGTTACTGAGACAACTAATGGTGGGGCAGTATTGAGCAGGGGGCATTGAGGGAGAACTGAAGATATGATATTACAGCTGAAGACATATTATTCCCCACAACCAGTTCTCAAAGCCCTGCAGCAGCTGAAAGGTCTCCTAAGAGATGAAGAAATTGTGTTCTGAAAAGAGACATCCTGCCTGCTACATACATACAGTGTTGTGATGCACTGGCACGGCCAGAGAATTGACAGCCCTTCACCAGTCTCTCACTGTGCCTGATCTACAGCAGATCGGTATTGTTTGTGAAGTATTTCAGATTTCCTGCCATTTAAGCTAGTTTTTAGCTGCCACTGTGGGTCTGATGAATAGAGCTGCTGCAATGAGTTTTGTTTACCTTTTATTCTTTCTGTGGCCTTAGGGAGGAACACCAGAAAGTTGCTGATGTTTTTCTCTCCAGAAAATCAAGACTGAATCACCACACAGCATACATCATGCAGTTTGACAAGAATTTGGCTCTGCTAGATGAAACCTGCCTTAAGTATTCCCAGCTGGCTGCTGTCATTCAAGAATTTGAGGTAAGGCCCCCTTATTTTTCCACTTGTGTTGACACATGGCTGTGCCATGTGGACTCACTCGAGGTAATTTTTTAATGCAACTCCATCAGTGTTCACAGAGGGTAGAATGGGAGAAGACCCCTCCTCACATATCTTGATAATAGAAGTGAAGTGGGATGTTCATTTCTACATCACGTGCTTCTGTGTCTGCATCTGTTGCCCACACATTCTTCTATGTATACAGAATATATGTTTGTGAATCTACAGACTTGTGAACACATCTTGCTGAAATATATGCCAGTAGTAGAATAGCTTCTCATTTATATGTTAACATATAAATCCCAGTGTGGCTATGTTCAAATTAATAACCATTATTGTTACAATATCTTCTTTCACTGCACTTTGCATCATTTTTATTCTGGGCGTAACCAAAATGAAGTTAGGGTTAGACTGCATGAGTGTGTTAGCTCTTAGCTGGGATCAATCCACAACATCTTTAGAATTGGATTTCTCTGCATTTTTAAATGCCTTTTAATGCTTCCTCTGCTTACAGAGGATCTGGTGACAGTCAGCCAACTGAACTGCAGAGGAAGACACCACCACCTCTGGCTCAATGCAGGGTTCTGTTCATCCAGACTACTTGAATGATTTATAAGTTTTGGGCCTGTATCAGTAAACAAGAAACATATTTTACATTGTCTTAACTCAGTTTGTTCTTGTTGAATGACTAAACACTATCAAGATACAACTGACAAAAATTGAGGCCATGATTCTTTATTATATTTTAAAGTATTTGCAATATAGGCAGTTCATGTAATTTCAAAAGTGTGAAATTATTTGTCGGAGGAAAAGTTTAGTTGGATTACACTAACTCTATTGAGATGAAATGGTCCAAGTCATGGTGCTATAATATGTATTTAGAATCCATGTTTCTTTTTCTCTTTATCTGGTAAGACAAGTGACAATGATTACTTGGGTAGAAGAGGGCCTGTGAAGATAAATTAGTGATTGGACCTTAAGGGTTACTTAGCCTGCAGCATATGTGAACTATTTAAAAACAATAATTCATTTCAAATGACATTTGGAAGTCAGCATTTATAAACAGATACCTTGCAGTTGCCATAATTATTTCCTGTTAGCAGGTGAGGGGAGCTCTGATGGCTCACATTGCTCTGAATCTGGAAAATGCAGGTTTTCTACTGATAGCCTGTGTTCCTAGCATCCCTCCTGACCGCTACGCTATGAACTCCTGTCTTAATCCTGGAGACTGGATCTTATTTCTAAGAAAGCAGATGGAGCCTCTCCTAGGAAGAGAATAGTAAGATTTTACTTTAGAATCAGTAAGCTTTGTTACTTCTTAGCCATTTGCATGTGTGCATGCACACAAACATGGGAGAGGTGTCTATGAGACCTTTCCTATCACATTTTTTAAAAACTTGACAACAGTTAACTTTCCAGTCTAACAACAAAGAATCAAGGTCTTCATGTTGTTTCTCTCACCTATGACTTGAGCAGTTAAGGTAATGCAACAACATTAAACATTTCTTCTGCCTGGGAAAATACTGTCTCTTCCCAGTCCTTAAACAGCTAAGTTTCCTATTTTCCCTTTTGCCCTGCCCACCTTCCCAAAGTGGCAAACATTGCAGAAACATTAGTCAATGAACACTGAAACCCCTGAAATTTGAATTGCTTTTGAAGTCAATTCTCATGAAGAACTACCTGGGTTTTGTGCCATTCCCTCAGGGTCCTGCAAACTTTGTTTCATGGTTCCTCTGGAGATGTGGAGACTTTAGAAAACTGAATTTTGCGCATTGCTGCTGGTTTTGCAGCAGTGTTGAGACACTTCACAGATAAACAACAAATTTTTCCGATTTTAACTTGGTATTTCTGTAGTCGCAAGCAATAGGTTGAATCTGAAGGGGAAAACTAAATTGGAAAGTGCTTCTTTTCCATGTGTGTATTAAATCAGACCACAAGTCCTAACTAAATCACAGGAAGATGCTTTGTTGTATTTTGCTTAATTCCATGTCTTGAAATAAGGTACTAAAAGTTGGAGGCAGAAGAAATTTTCAGTAAAAAAAAAAAAGAGCTTGTTGATATCTGATACTTCTGACTCTTCATATGCCATCCAAAAACCTTTACCTTCTGAACAGTTCTTACTTTCCTCCCTCTTCCCTCTGAGTCCAGACAACTTGTGAGCTATGCCATAGGAAATAAATTGTTAAAAGTACTACCTTATAATTAATAAATACTCCTTAGTACTGTGAATGATTCAATAGAATTTTTGCATTCAACTGTTAGTAAACTTTCAGGGTACACATCAGGTGGAGGAGATGACAGCTTGCTGCTGAGCTCACACATCCTTGATATGTTTCCTCTCCCTTCCCTTGAGGACAGAAGAGCTCTGGTGGAAGCCCACAGAATGTGAAACACCAGCTTTTGAAAGTGGTGCAGCGTGTCTTCCAGTATCGTGTGATGCTCACAGGTCAGTAAAACAAATTCATTCTCAATATGCCATGTTAGGTGCCATGACAACTAAATTAGGGCTGGAGCAGTATGGCTGAGAATTCCTGGGAACTTCAGTGTACTTAATACAGGATTCAGGTAATATCAGGGAGCCTGGGAAGGAGCAGGCACTTCTTCAGATCAGCCATGCTTTAAACATCACTAAAAAGTGTATGCCAGGTTTTTTAAGCCATTCCTTCCTGCCTTTCCCCTTTCCTGAGTCAGGAGAAGCAGAGTTCAGGAACCTCACTGCCAGCAGGCGGGTTTGATTTTATTTGTATCAGTGGTAGTTGTCAGAAGTAATTGGGCACAGTAGTCACTGGCAAAGGAAGACACTCTGCAGTGTGTGCTGTATGGCAGTGCAAGCACCATTGCCTCCTACTCAATCAACAAAGCAGCTGTACCCAGTGCTGCATCCTGAGCCCTGTGTTCAATAGACCTAAGGTTAGTGCTAAGTTTAAGTCAAGATCCTAGATTAACTTCTCCACTTTCTAGGAGGCAGAAATCCAGATTTACATCAACAGTGTATCAAAAAGTATCTATGAATCTCAGCCTTGTGAAGTTTGTCAGATTTAAAAAAAAATCCATACACAAAAACGGAGAAACATCAAGAATATGTATGTGTGTGGGTGGAGAGGGTTGTTAGATGAGTTGTGTGGGACAGTAGAAAGGAAGCTACAAATCTTGCTTATACTTAACAGCTGGTGAAAGTCATGACATACTAGAAAGGGCACCTAAAAATGCATCAGAGCACAGGGGCTATATGAATTTTTATTCACAGCACATATTAGCAGCAGCTCCATCTTGCTCCAGATACTTTGATCAGGGATGCGAGTCATTTTCCACAATTGATTTTTCCTTTTTAGGGGCAGCAATGAATTCTGGATGCCAATATTAGGACTCTTTTTGTCTGTCTAGCTTTTCTCTCTAGCTTTCCTACACTAAGGGCTACTTCCCAGACTGAAGGTACCTAATTGCCTCACATGATTCTTACAGTCTCTTCAGTGCACGCACACAAACACTGCATCTTAAATGTGCTCTTCATTTCCCTTTCAGGAATACCCCTATCACACTCCCAGTTTCTCTATCCATTTCTGTGGTCAAGCAACTTGAGCTCCTCCCCGTCCCCTAGTATTGGCATTAACTGGAAACATGAAAGGTTTTTTGTGCACTGGAATAATTTTTGCTTGTTCAAGATATTCCAGAAAATCAGCTACTTGGTTATTAGGACTGTGTGGGTCTGGAACAGTGCAGTCTTTCACATCCTCTAGGCAGTGTAGAGAGAGAAGAAAGGGAGGGGAAAAAAAATATGCAGGTGTTTTTGTGTGTTCATAACTGTCTGTTCCTATCAGATAGGGAAGATTGTTTCATTGGGATATTGGTTGCTAGTTACTGTACGTGAGCCAAAAAGAGCTACCCACTCAGTTAAATGTCTATAGCCAAGGACAGAGCTTGCAGCTATAAAAAGTAACATTAAATATTGCCTGATTACACCAAATAGCCCCTTCCTGCATGACCGAGTGCAGGCAGAAGCTTTCCTGAACTCATGAGAAAGCCAGGCAGTTATTAGAGCACCAGGGAGAGGACAGTCCCAGAAAAAGAAATGCAAGATAGTCAAGAGAACAGATATATGAGCAACGCCATTCCCAGCACATAGGCCTTTTTTTTGATTGATCCAAGCTCTTAAATTCTACAGAGATGAACAAAACATGTCATGGTTACACTTTAAAAAAAAAAAAAAAAAAAAAAAGTAGCACTCTCTATTACAGCTATTAAAGACTCGGGCAAAGAACAGACTGCTTACATCAAGTAGACCAAAGAAAGATGACAGGTAAAAGTTTGTAGATGATACAAACACAATTCCTGCAAATGTAAGTCCTATTGTATGTAATCTACAGAACTTATTTTCAGAATGTGATGGAGTTCATTAGTAATATCAAACTCTGCATGTACAGAAACAGTTGCTTTCCTGTACCTACAGAATTTGTACCACGCATTTCCTATTAATATATAAAATGTCATTACAGTCAACACTGTTTATTTGGAGGGGAAAACAGAATTCATGAGAAGAATAATTATTTGAATTATTTGTCAAATGGTGCTACTCAGCAATTATCTTGGCTGAGAAACAAGGAAATACTGTTGTTCTGTTGTTTATGCTGAGTTTTGTGATGAGTTCAAGTGTGAATCAATTCTTTAGCACTGATTTTCAAGGTAGAATACTATCAAAGATGTTTCACTTTGGAAAGAGGCAACATAAATCTAATTATTTGGGAATAAAGTAGTATAGGACAGTAATATAAAACAGTTTAGAATTTTGCTAATCCAACTACAGATCATATGGATTTGAATTTTGATTTGTTTCATTATTTTCTACAGATTACCTGAATAATCTTTGCCCTGATTCTATGGAGTATGAAGCCACACAAGGTGAAATGAAATGGGTAGAACAAAAAATCCTGTTTCACTAACTCTGCTTCTAAAGAGGTGCCAGATCTATATGGGAAATATATAGAAGGGGGGGGGTTATTCTTAAGATTAATATTAATGGGTTAGATGTAAGGTCTACAGTAATTCATTACTAATTTAAATGAATTATTAAAGGCAAGAACCCTATCTTTTTCAGTGAAATGAGTGGACTTCCAGTAGTTCTTATGTGATTAACTTACAAAAGAAGAAATGATCATGTATACAGATGTAGTGCTGACACCTTACTTCAGCCTCCATCATATGAAAAACCCTAGTCCTCTTTGTCTCCATCCATGCTTGGCCTGGTCATTGTAAATCCAGTTGGGAGTTGTCCACCTTCTTGTTTGTTTATCATTATCTTGAGCATGTCTGCTCTTCTCTTAGAACTTTGGAGACACCCAGATTTGAACTATGTATCTGTATACTGTATTATTTAAGACTAAGTAAACCTGACGTAAAGTGCATAAAAATCTGTTCCGCTTAATGAAGAACAAATCCTGAAGTGCAGTTGCTAACACCACCCTTTCTAACACATCGGATGGATAAAGCCTCCTACTTCCACTGAAGTCAAAGGGAGGTTTAGCCTAGGTATGAGTGGTAGTACTTCCCAGGCTGAAGTAAAAAGGATAACAGTGTGTTGAGGAAACCAGTTTGCCTCTCTTATGTGAATCCAAAGCAACTCACAGCAAAAAGAACTGTGACTGAAGGTCAGTCTGTTAGGACCAATAGTAGAGTCTCTCACAAAATGTAGGACCCTAGTCACTGACTAGGTACACTGGCTTTAGCAGCAATTTAAGCCGATGTAGCCACAGAGCCTGAACATTTGCCTATCTTGTTTGTGCTTAGTGCATGCTTGTCACATTTCTGGCCAGCAATGGTTCAGATGCTCCCAGATTAGGCCCAAAAATAGGTAGGATGTGCTGCTCCACAGGAAGAGAGATTTGAAATAAAGATCTAAACTGTTATACTGTTGCCCTCAGGCCAGCTAACAGTGGAGAATCCAGATATTAATTCATGTCAGCATTTCATACACACTTGTCAAAAAAGCATGACCTATGCTCTCCCTTGGCAGTAAGGGAAATTAAGTCACCTGGACTGCCATACTTTTAGATGGTGGAAGCTGGATTACATGAATCTATCCCTGCCATCAGCTTCTACTTTCATAAGTCTGTAGCTAGAAAACATCATAAAATGCTTTTGCTTTAAAAGATCCTCATGAGCTCTGTGTCAACACAAACATGATGCAGAGCTTTCATTAACAGAAGGATCTCTCTTCTGGGTCCTAAATTTCTTGGGTAGTTGCATCTTGATGATGCCAAAAGATCTACAGAGCTGCTGCTAAGGGTGGCTTTTTAATTAAGGATATCCTTGTAAACAGAACTTGGGTTTTCTTCCTCTCTTGCATTATTTGTGGCCTTTGTTTTACTTTGTTCTTCAGCTGCCTTATTCATTGTTTCTGAAATCGCGGATCAAGCCAACGAGAGCATGCTCCAAGGGGTGAGTGCTACCCTGCTACCCTCTCTCCTGATCAACAGTCTTCTCTGTACATATGAAGTGACTTCATATCTGTTAAATTTTGAAGCTTCCTCCAGGGTGAAGCTCAAGAGTTCATACAGAACTGGTTTAGACCACTGCAGATATGGAATAGGTAGTATAGCTGTGCAGGATGTAAGTCACTGTAGCAAGCAGCACAAAGTGGTTTTTTTTCCTCTTGGGATTGCTGAAATGGGATGTGACACAAGGAAGTGAGAGATGGGAATTTTCGGAGTTAGTTTTTAGTCTAGGATGGTTTCAGATATTAAATGCTGAAGACATTAAATATGTGCTGTTGAAAATATACTCTGAAGTCATTTATGTATGTTTTCTTCTCTTCTGGAATCCCATTTTACTGAAGAATTTGTCCTGGTTTACAGTCTTGTAAATGTTCAAGCAGCCAACTGGCCATGATTTTCATAGGGTATAGCTCATGGCTAAACTGAAATCTACGTATCTAAATTAAGTTATGTAGTTCTCTGAAGTAATGAACATTCACTATTAAGTCACTGATATATTTTTCACATGATATCAAAGTCCTAATTCACTGGCAAAGATAGCTGAAGCATAACTAGCTTTATCACCACTTGTTTCCAAGGATCTAGATCTGATTTTTATCTAAGATGACAGGAGTTTTGCTGCTGACATCAGTAAGGTGTTGGCTGGGAGACACACAGGCAGCAGAGAAGGTCAGACAAGGGGATGCAGCAGGTTCTGAAGAAATTCAACTTGGTAGACATCCAGGTGGTATCATAGCTAGAGGACGTATCTCTTTTTGCCATAGTAGCCACTCACACATTCAGATAAATTCTCTCCATTATCTCCTGAGGCTCATTTATGTAGAACCATGTCTTTGCACAGATGTAGCATCCAGAGGAAGTATTTTGTTGTTGTGTTGAATCACAGTAATTCCAAGTGATGGGGAATGCATCATATCTTTTTGGGAAGCTGTTCATGTTTTAATTCTCACTTAGACATTGTGGACTTTAGCAGTCTGCCTTGGGATTTTGCTACGCCTTTTCTAAATTAGAGATATCTTTTGTGGTGCAAACATCCTTCCACATAGTTAGTTACAGCTGGCAGTCAAGTCACTTCTTCATTATTTCATCTGCTTAGCAGAAGATGGTTATTAACAATTACTCAGGCATCATAACATGAAATCCAAGGGACAAAGAGGAGAAACCTAAGCATTACAGGGAGAAATGAAGTATCAACTAATCTTAGTGGGAGTTTGTTTTCGAATAGGATTTTAAAGTTGAAAGAATAGGGAATTTATAAGGAAAGACATGCTGGGGGCCATTACAGACGCATACCAGCACTGCTGGCTCAGCACATTTCCTTTAATGCCGTTGCCTTCTGGCTGCAGGGTGAATGAGAAAGGCAAATGAACCCAAGAGCCAAGGTTCTCAACTTCTGCTCACATCTGAAAATCCCTGCTGCTCAGATTTAAAAGCAATGTCTCTGATGTGTGTGCCAAAGTCATAAATGCAGCCCATGTGTTCATGGGCTGTTTTAGAGTACCACATGCAGTGATGATCACTTCATGGCCAGAGAGAGAAAAGAGCTGAATCTGGTAATAGTTGTATCAGAAAGACATAAGTTGTAGTTAAAAGTACTTACAGTTTTGTGAATAGGAAAACCTGGCTTTGTGAATCTGATTCCTATACCTTCCAATATCTAGAAACTGAAGCTAAGGCTCTGGACCTGCTTTTCCTGAAGTCAGTAGCAAAATTACAGCAGATCAACGTGAAGCCCAACTAGTAGGTTTCTGGTTTTGTGTGGAGATAATCTCAAGCCATGGGAACTGATTAAAACTTTGAGCATCCTGAGGTTTAAGGTTAAGCTACCATGTTTGTACAAATCTGTACCTGAGGAGGTTACCCATTGTCACCACTGCTAAAATGCACCACCCACTGCTCACTGTCTTATGTTCACTGTTGGGCCTACATAAGTATTCATTAATCATCAGTCACGGTCAGTGGGTGCTGCTTCTTCCACATGGAGGAGTTCAGTTCCATGCTTTTGCTTCATATACACCTCTGTGTCAGATGCCCTTTTGTCAGATTGGCCTTCTGCTATCATTTGTCACACAGCAACAAAATGAAATGGGATATTTTATATCTCATTTCATAATGGGTTTAACCTTAGGCATTACTATTGGAGCAGCCACTGTATCAGGCAGAAAGAGGACAAAAATTGTGAGGGAAGTTTTTGAAGGTGGAATGATAGTTGCATTACAGTCATGCATGTAATAGTGAAAAAGAAGGAAAGGAGAAAGAAGCATAATAGAAAAGAGATGCATGGAAATAATTATATTATACAGACTATTCCCAAATAATTTTCATCAATAATCAATTGATTGCTATATAAACACTGTACTGCTACCAAGTCAAACAAGCACATGCAGACAGCAGGGAGGATGTTGTTGAACAAGCCTAAATTTTAATATAAAAAGAAATGTAATCTAGCCACTCTATGGAATGACTCTGAAACCATGGACTTACTGGACAAAGCTTGCAACAGGTTTGATTTTCTTTCTCATCAGGCTTCCCAGTCATCCTTTTTCATTAATAAAACATTATTTGTACCAAAATAAAAAAAATATTTAATTATATAACTGAGATCTCAGGTTTTCACCGTAATCTCACAGGTTTGGGGATACTCATATTAGAGGCTGAGAGTTGTAGGAGCTCAGATCAGAGCAAGGTCACACATCTTTTTGTGGTACCTCTGCTTTGTTAGGTTTTACTCAAATATATGGGAGATTTGTATGAATACTTCTCTGTGTAAGAGAGTGGACAGAATCAGATTTTCATTCACATTGCAGTGGAGTCAGTGAAGTTATATTACTGGTGAAAATAGTCATGAAAGTTGAAATCCTGTTTTTTTTGTATCATGCTTTTTTTTATGTAAACCAAATAACTCAATTTTGGATTTTGCCTATGGGGAGAACCTCGAAGAAGATATCACCAGAGGGCATCAACATTGGGCTCAATGCAATTGCACTAAGATGTGGGTGTTAGTTTGCTGACAGTGCTTACAAATCTTTCAGCTGATTCATTTTGACAACAGCTGAGTTTTGTGTGGTATAGATTGGCTCTGCAGGAAGCCACGCCACGCAGGAAGGAAATCTGGTAGTAAGCAACAGTTGTCAAAACAGCAAATAGATATTCCCTGATACTTATGGCTAAGGAATAAGCAACTTCCTTTGAAGTGGTAGTGATTAGCTTGTAGCTCTTTCATACTTTTTATGAAAGATTGATATTTACTGTGGTGCATTGCTGTGAAATGACTTTCATCTCCACTAATCCATGCTTTAATTTGAAGAACATCACCAGACCCTCTGTGTTTTACGGACAAAATAGGCTGTATAATATTTACTTTATGTCTGTTTGGGAACAATTTCACCACGCATTCCACATTGACTTTTACACTTCATTTTTTTATCGTATTGTCAGAGCATGTCTGCTCTTTTTGAAGCTATGGCCTGGAAGAGGTGAAATAAAATTTCCTTCTTTCCTGTCTGTGTGAACACTGGATTTTGTGAAGATTCTCATGTTCATGAGGATCGAAGTTCAATATTCTGTGATATCAGAGGCTGTCCTCTTAATATCCCAATGAAGAAGACTATAATCAGAGGTTCTGTTCTTTCTCTCGGATTTTCAGAAATGCAAAGAATTTTAGAAGCGTCTTTAATTACAGTGCAATCTGAACAAAGTAACATTTTAGTGTTAGCAACTTGACACGCATTCAGCTGAAGTTCTAGCAATAATTTTGGTTTGGCATGTATCTGGTAAGAGGAAGTATTCTGCTATTTATTAACTGATCAAACTATTCTCTAAATATCAGATAGGAATACTGAATTATGATCTATGTCTTCTGCAGAATCTGAAAGATTTGTTATTGGCTTTCTTGTTTTATTATAATAACAGTTCAGCACACTTCCCCTGGGAACTATTAGCCCAGGATTTTCAGAAATATTGGCATATTGACTATCTGCATAGCATTCTTCGCAAGTATGAAAATAGTACTGGCAGTTTACAAAAGTGCAAGTAGAGGCAGAAGTTGTGCCATCACCATATAGCATTGAGTCTATCTGTAATTCTAGGAGACATCCACTACTTGAACTGAGCAGGGTTTGCATTGCTTTTTGAACTTCTTCAATCTTTTAGAGGTCTTGCAACGCTAAAAGAGTAATAAGTTATTGTAGCTGTTACCAGCTGGTGAATTTCTGAGTAGGCAGTACTCCTTTGTAGATGCAATGATAATGTTGCTTGCCATATGGAAGCTGCAGTTCATTGCTAACCTCTCCAGAGAAGGATTTTAGCCACTCTATATCTGCAGTACTAACTGGGTGGAGCTTTATTTTAACTTTGGAATTCCAGCTTAGGAAGGGTATTTAACAGGAGAATGAATAGGGTTTTAAGAAAAATGAAAAAAACTGTGTGTAAACAGAGTGTTTTAGGGAACTCTAAGGAAATTGTACCCTCCTAAGCTGCCCACATTTCCAGATAAATCATAATCCTTCACATGTAATGTCTGTTTGACTTCCTACAGGAAATCAGTTTGATACATCTTTGTCCATTTTCTGGTGAACATATGTCCATGTTGCAAAAGTCGGCATTACAACAGGCATGTCTACGAGCAGTCCTAAGAAAAGCTGAAGTGTATCTGACCTGCAGCAACTGAGTTCTTCTCTCATGCTTGTAGAAATCCCAAGAGTGTGCTCACAGGAAGGCAGTGTCTTTTCTACAGATGAAGAGCGGGCTTTTATTCTGGAAGATGTCAATTTGACAAGTTTTGCTAGGGCCAAAATACCTTTTAGTGATGGAGAAATCCTCAGAAAATGTCTTTTTCAAGTGTCAGCTGTTGCATTATAGCTGATGATTCCTGTGCTTTTAGTTTATATATTGTTTCAATTTTGTTAGCTTGGAGTATTTTAGAAGTTACAACAAGAAGTAACAAGAAGTTACAACAAAATTCCATTTGTTGTTTGCAGCATTGCAAAAGAGATACCTGATGGCTGAAAGTGTTGAAAATGTCAACTGCTAGTTATGTTGTGTGGTCACAATACAGCCTTGTGCTAGTCAAGGCTTGTAGGTAGTCTGATGTGTTTGGTATGTGGTTATTGATTTAGAAGTAAACCTTTCTAAATTGGCGTAATTTTTCACCAGAGCAGTAACAGTAACATAGAGAGGTATTTCGGGTTTATCTCAAAAAGCAAGCTGAGATAGCTACATTAATTGTTAGCTGAAATTCAACATAAATTAGCCTGAAAGAACATAATGCTGACGTAGATGCGCTCCTTCTGATATCTGTGATGGTTTTCTTAATTAGCTCATTCTGTAGACGTCACTGATTTACGTATCTCAGATATATCCTTGATTACACTGTACAATCTAATAGAATCTAACTAAGCCTGGGGATAGCTTGAAGTCAGTCAGTGCAGCAAAGGTGAACATGTCATTGTCTGCCATAGCAGAAAGCAGTAGTTAAAGGCTTCCAGATCATGAAACTATGTCAAATATGATGCTTAGTCAGTAGCTTTTGTGTGTGTGTAATCAGGGAGTTAGAACACGGTGGCTAACTTGGACAAGAGAGTCTTAACTTTTGGACACATTCTAAGTGATATCTTATTGCTGTTGCACAGCCCATTTTAGTGCTTAGACCAGATAAAACCATAACTGAAACCTGTGTACAAGCCTGGGTTTTAGCAGCAGCATCTGCTACTAAAAAAAAATCTAAAAAGATTCTAGCACTATTGCTCAGATGCAGACCCTCCTTCCTCTTCTACAGATTCCATCCAATGCGATCTTTGTTTTAATGATTGTAAAGACTTAATTAGATTAATTTAATTTACCATCTTCAGATAAATTAATGTCATGTGCACGTGCCCTGTCTGTGCTCTCAAGTCAGGCAGGCAGTTGTATGAGAACTGCTAAGTCACAGTCTGAACTGATGATTGAACACCTGGTGAAGGGACACAGTCAGCCCTGGAAGCACAGGTGAAAGCAATTTGTCTGTGCCACTGGAAGGGCTGGAACCTAGTTCCACCACTCCCTAAGCCTTATTTAAGGGCTGGCTGCCCCAGGGAAGAATTTCTCTCTACCTGGAGATCTCTTCTTTTTGAGTATTTGGTGAGCCCCCATCCTCAGGATGGGTAAGCAACTCTTTCTTTCTTTGACTGGATTGTGACTATCACTTTTTTGGAGTGATTTCAAACTGGTTATCTGCCTTTGCCTTTCCTTACAGTAGTCAACAGTATCAGAATCTGCTAATGAGCTTCTTGATCTTTGCAAATCATTAAAAGAGATGCAATGGTAATGCCTCCTTACTAGTTAAGCTTCTGAATTCCCTAGTTCAAAGTCACTAATTTGCTAGTGCAGGATATAAACTTCCAGATAATCCTAGCAATGGCCTTACTGTATCAAAGCATGCTTTGAATTATTCATGTTATGCCACTAATAAGCAAGCGTTTGGAGTAGTTGCTCTATTTCGTTCCTGCTTCCAGTTTCTTGGTTCCCAGATCAAGAAAGCTAGTGAAGATGCTAATGTATAAATGCTGCATGGAGTGAGCAGGCTGTTCTGAAGGTGAACTAAAGTACAGGGGGGTGGGTTTTAAATAGTTATTGAAGATGTCAGGAGTGTACAGTGTCACAGCAGATGTGAATGATGAGATTTCATAGAACCTCTGAGGCTGGAAGAAGACTTTCTGGACTTAAAGACTGTGGGCTTAGTTCTTTCTGAAACCTAATTCTCTAATATCATTTCACTGTTATAGAGAAACAAAATGGTGAGGAGGGATGAGGGACATTTGCCTGTTTGACTAAAGAGCAGTCATCTAAATGTTGTTTCTCTCCCTCAGGAAAACTTGCAGAAGCTGGTACACATTGAGCACAGTGTGAGAGGGCAAAGCGGCCTCCTCCAGCCAGGAAGGGTGAGTGCTGCAGGCAGAACTATACTGATAAGGACATTGTTTCCGGCCAGCTTTATCTCTCTCTGTGTGGATAGCAGGATTTCAGACATCTACAGGTGTTGTTTTCTGCCCCACTGTGATAAGAGTTGTAGCGCTGGTTTATGTAAGCAACCATCACTCTGGCAGTGCTCCATGATTTCACGTGTGTGAATGGCTGTTGTACTTTCTGCTCCCACTCTCTTAAGCCACCCCATGGGTACTGTGTTCTGGAGAAGATGCTGTTTTCCTTCTATACTCCTGCTGGAAGGTTTGAAATGCCAGCAGAAACTGCTTGCAGCCTATAAAGGTTCAAAACTTTATTTGGTTAGGTTTGATTAATCAGAGATTCAAGATTAATCAGGGGGATTACATACTTTCAGATCTTCATTCTTACTGTTCTCAGTGTGCTTTTAATACAAGATATCACTTCTAAATGCTAAGTCATAGCTTGAAACAGTGATGGAGCACCTGGTAGGAAGGCAGGACCAGCACAGGGAAGCTCAGCTGCATGCAATGTACCTGAGTGACTGGAAGGGATGGAGCCAGGATCCACCCCTTCCCAGACCTCGTTTAAGGGTTGACAGTGGAGGCAAGGGTATCTCACTGGAGATCTCTGCATACTTGAGACCTGTCAAAGGTAAGCAGCTTCTTTCCTTTATTCCTGTGCCCATGGTTATTATGTATGAGCAAATCCTCACTTGCTGCAGCCTAGGATCTTGTTGCTCTGCTGTTATTGCTGCGCTTTCCATTGTGTTACAAATATATGAACAGAAACGCAGGAAAGAGCATAGTTGAAGAACCAAATGTAAAATTTTCCTCTTATGTTTCCAGTCTTGCCAGTTTTCTTAGGTCCAAACTGCTCTATACTTTAAAAGATTTATTTCTTGAGTTATTCAATCCTACATTTCCATTCAGTCCATCTGTCTAGTATGCATTTTAGCTGGTTACATATACGTTCCTATTTACACACATAGTAATAATATCAACAGACAAGGTATTGTGCTTGCAAATATGTACATATATGTATACAGGCTTAGTTATGTGAATAGGTCTCAATATTTCTTTTTGGTTTGTCCAATTTTTTCATAATTAGGGGATGAGTTCTTCTTTTGAAGCCCACTACATGTTGACTGTGCAGTCCATGGTGCAGGAGAGTATGCTGAGGACTGCCTGGTGTCTCACAAGGGAGTTTCTAAACTGTTAGAGACAAATGCAAGCCATAAAGAGCAGCAGGGCTGACAAAGGCATAGACTAAGGCTAATCGTGAGGAGGGCTAGAAGCATGTGTTGAGGTATCCATCCCTTACTGTGCTGACAAAAGCAGTTGAGTGCTTTCTCTCGGAATGTATGTTCTCTCTTCCCAGTAAACTTCAGTATGAAGTCTCAGGATTACGACTCTTTTTTTCCTTCTAGATCTTTGTGAAAGAGGGAACACTGATGAAAGTCTCTGGGAAAAACAGGCACCCTCGGCACTTGTTCTTGGTAGGATTTTTTTTTTGTTGTTTTTACTCTCTTTCATATCTTCTTCAGCATTACGTCATTTAATTGTCAGCAGTGATGTGTTGAATAGGCTTTGGTTACTACCAGGATGTAAAAGTCTGTAGGCCTTCCATATCTCTGTTGGCACTGCATAGGAATAAGGGCTATGCAGCCTTCTGTTTTTGCCACAACTCTATACAGCTTTGACTAGGCCATAATTCTGCAAAGGAATGCAGGTTTCCAACGTGCTCAGGAAGATGGAAGCACTAAAGTGCACATTTCCAGTGGTTAAGCTTTTTTATATTTTTTAAAATTCTCCTCTGAAGCCCTAGGGGAGATCTCATTAGAAACAGAGAACAAACCCTGTTAGTAAAGTTTATGAAAACAGCCTTTGGGCTTATTTGGGCAAGATTTCTATCCTTGAAGCTCAGGGGCTAGGTTTTAGTTCCTGATGTCCATTTCTATGTAAATCACCTGATAACTTTGTGCACTACCTAGAGACAGTCCTTCTGAAAGCACACCTTCAGATCTCTGTTGATTTGAAGCAGCAGTTTTCAGTAAGGGCTTGCAAAATTTTAAGACAGTTATGAGAAATTAACCTGTAATCATTTGGCTGGAAAGCCCTTTACATGGATCCAAACTGTACTGGAAAAATTTAAGCATTCACAAATCAAAACATGAGATGCCACTTTTGTAGATACAACATTAGCACTGATGCTTTCTGTTTTGCATTACAACAGTGAAAAGTTATAGAGGATCTGAGACTCCAGGCTCATGAGTTCTGTTCTTTGCAGGTAGCTCACCGTATAACCACAGTTATATTTATGCTTTCATTTGTATGAAGGGGAAAATACTTGCTTGTCATAAAATTTTTGTGATGATTACCTGTTCATGTTTGTGAAATTGAAAAGCACCATAAAGTATTGAGCATTACTGCTAATATTAACATTAAAGTATTGTTTGCAGACTTCATTTTAAAATAAATGGATCACATGCCTGGATTATATATTTACTGCAGCCTCTAAGTGTTGACAGCTTTTCCCCCTAGGTCTATTATGAGGAGAGATGGCTTATCATAGAGTAGATTTTGCCATTAATTCTTTTTTTCCCCCTTATTCCTACTTCTACATAAGTAGGATATACAAGCTTCTCTGCCAATTTGCTCACATACTGCAGTCATAATCAAAGGTCAGATGAGACAGGGCATAGTGCTGGCACTGCACTTCTCTGATGGCTTCATTAGTTTGTTTAAATATTTTCAGTAGAGAAAAGTATGAATTTAAGAGATTTCATTCAAGTCTGCATCTTTGGACTATGAGAATAGTAAATAGTATCAAAACCATGATTTCCTGGCAGCTGGAAGTGCAAACTATGACCAAGAGTGCTGTCGTGCAAAGTATATGATGGACTAAACCACTGTGAATCAGAAAAGAATCAAAAGGTGCATAGAGGTTTATTTTCTCCTCTAACATGCAAGCTGAAACCACTTTAGACTTCTTGTACTGTTTCTTTGAAGGAGGGTTGGGGTAGCTGGAACTTGGACACGGTTTAAAAGTCATAGGCAAAGATCTTTCCTTTAGTTCAGTGATCTAAAAAAAAAAAAAAATTCCCCACACCACCTGCCCTTAATTGTCTTCTCCTCTGAAAGTTTCTTAGGCTGCATAGCAATGCCACCTGTTGTGAAAATGCAGGAAAGAAAATCAGTGTGGAATGACTTAATTCCTGCACTAACATCTGAATGCTTTTGCATTACCTGGTAACACTGCAGATAATGTTTCTGTAACGCTGTCACCATCCAAGTGATGTTTAATGGACTACTCAGTCTTAAAACAACTACTGCATAACTCTACCTGCAAACTTCGAATGTAGCAACTTTTCTATGGCAGTCTTAAGAGCCTACCACCCATCACTGCCTATGCCTTTTTATAACAGCTTCCTTTGCCAGTGTATGTGGCCTGACTGATGTACTATCTTGATTCTGACATCCAGGGGACATAAAAAACACACAAGGCCCCAAGAATAGAATCTTCTAAATATTGTCTTTTGAAACTTAAATAGATTTTAATCCTTCCATATCTAAGTATTTTGTACCACTGGCAAAATTCAGGTAGAACAATAACTGTATTTATCAAAAAACTTCCAGAATACTTAAGATGTTCCAGTTGCCATACTAGAAAATTATTAGACATGAGTATGTACAAGTATAATTTAGCTTAGTTCTGCATGTAATTTTTTCCTTTGCTCATATAACCGTTTTGAGTAGCTCTCTTTTGTAAGTTCTTTGTATTGAACTTACACTGACTATAGTTGAGTTAACACAAAGAAAATATCAGCAGAAGAGTATACACTGAAAGATAAACATGAGAATTCAACCCCTACACATCTTGGGAGATGAGCTCATCAAACTGAAGTTCTAGTTAGTACGTGCCAGAAGAATTGGGTATGTACCAAAATTGTATTTGGCCTGTTCATTCAGCCTGTGTTTTGATGGTGTGCACATGTGTGCTTTGAATATATGCCCCTACAGAGAGATCCATCTGTGTGCAGCTCATATGGACATACATGTGTATTACATGCATTCACACGTTTTTGGAGTGTGTATTTTTGTGAGTGTGCACACGATGTGTATCACAAGTTTACTTGCGCTGGTGGTTTTGGGCAGGCTGATGATATTGTTGAATGTGGTGCTTCCTGGCAGGATGTTTGGTGAAGTTTGCTGGACGCCTGTTTCCTGAGTCCAGTGTGTTTACAGGGATGTTGGGGCCTCTTTGCAGTTCACTATGGGGCTGCTGATGCTGGCAGGCCCCCTGACTGCCCCACAATCATAGAACTTTGCAACTCATACATTGTCTCTTATCTCACCCTTCCAAGAATTTCTCTACAAAGGCTGCTTGTGTTGCAAGCGGGGTGTGGGAAGCTGCTATCAAATGAGAGATTGTTTAATGCTCTAGCCAGCAGGACTGGAGCATAGGAAGTTTCTGAGTCACAGCCTGGAAAATGTAGCTGCAGCACACGTTCAGGCTGCTCTGCTGACACTCAGAAGATGTTTAACACTGACTTGAATAGGACAACATAGGGTTCATAATGAACTATCCTTCAAAAACATTTAAAACCAAGCATATGGTAGGAGCTTCTAGGCAGGGAGTGCACTATGGCACTATATAGGTGCCAGCTGTTCATCAGAGCACAGATAAACTTGTCTCTGCTGCGGCCAGCAGACTTGATGCTGTCAAATATCTAGGTGAATTCTGCTAGCAAGGAAAGCCAGTTACTCCTCTCACATATCCAAAGCATTCATTTCTGAATCATTCTTAGAAACCTTGACACTGTACTTCCACTTCCTTTTTGCCCAGAAAACAGAAGTCTGTGAAACCCAGCTCTACTTCTGGCCTTGCCACAGCTTTACTGTTATGGGACTAAGAGTCAGAGCTGCAGAATCCTGGGCAGTTAGTTGGTATTGCCATGTAATAAATGCATAACCTGCACTCCTGACTTGGACACAGCACTGCCCTTGAAACAAGCAGCTATTTCACCAAAGCTGAATAAAAAGGAGATGATTATCTACTTAGCTGCTAGCAAAAGTCAGAAATGGGAAGGAATCAAAATCCTTAATCTGGATTTCACAGAGCTCTTTGGAAATGTAGGACTTCATCTAAGCTGTGTGACTTGGGCCTGCCTTTAGTAACAGTCCTAGCAGTTTGAGTTATTGCTTGTTCTAGGAATCCCCCCCTGGGGTAATGGTCAGACTTGCAGGTCATGTTGCAAATTATTTGTTTTTGTCTTTCTCTTTATACAGATGAATGATGTTCTGCTGTACACGTATCCCCAGAAGGATGGCAAATACCAACTGAAAAACACGCTGGTTGTGTCAGATATGAAGGTAATGCTTTATCTGTATCATAAGCTGTAATTAAAATTGTATACTGGGCACTTAGTGCTTTTCTGGTTTATGTCTTATTTCCAGCTGATGTCAAGGAGATAGAGGGGGTGGACCAGGAGTCAGAAGGAAAAAAATAATATGAAGTAATTATCTAACAGATTATCTGTAAGGTTGTGACTTTCTATGACAGTTTTATTCAGGCTGGTAATTAATAATGCAAAATCAGATTTACCATCTGATCATGAAATTTGAGACAAAAAGTTTATTATCCCATTACATCCATTCTCCTTTTTCTGTCTCTAGCCCATGCATAGTTGTACCCTACAACACGTTCAGCAAGGCCCCAGGTTGCCAACCAACCTTAAACATTTGCCACTCACAATTTACATAAGCTTTCATTTGACTGTTTTCTACATGTCTATTGATTTTTTTAATAAAAAATATTAATGGATTCTAAAACTTCATAGGGAAATGGTGCATTGGGTGATACTACATGCAATTAAGCAGATATAATCTCTTGTTCAGTAAATTCCATAACTACAGGTTGTAGAAACTGGATACAATTGCCCTGTTCTTTGGTCTTTCCTTAAGCATCCATTGACACTAGTTCCTATGCAACAGGAAATATTGGGCAGGAATGGTCTTTTACTTTTGACCTAGTTGGCCATTTTATACCTCCCTCCAAGAACTATTCTGTACCCGATGTGCCAAGTTGTACTTTTAAGAAATAAGACTTGAAGTGGCAAGTCAGGAGGCTGGGGCTGAAGAAAACATGCAAGACATGAGTTACTAATAACTTCAGCAAAATGACACAAACTGTGTTGGGGTTTTCTGAAAACATGGAAGGCTGATCATCCCAAAGACTTCATAGTCTAACAATAACTCTAGGTTCCTTGCTAAAGTAAGAATCACCAAAGTGCTCCACTTCTAAGTAGAAAGGAGTTGTGTAACAGGTACTTATTGTAGAACATTTGAAATGCAGAGTGATTTTATAATAGATGCTTGTTAATCATATCACATGATTACTATGAAGCTATGTTTCATCTAAGTAGCTTCTGCTATTAGTAGACAAATAGTATGGTACATGGCAGGAAACGGTTTCAGCTGAGCTGTATCTTAGGCACTTTTTGACTCTTAAAGAACCTTGCTGCAGACAGGCATTCACTGATCTGAAGCATTTCACAGCTTATAGTCTACATGTCCAGAAGAAAATTATTTCCATTCTTTACTGAAGGATTCTACCAGACATGCTCTGACATTTTTCAGACTAAATATCTCCTAAGCTTGTCATATGAAAATTAAACTCTGACTGACAGCTTATCAGTACCTCTGCAGTTAGATTAAATTCTTTGTTTTCCCTTTAGAACCGGCATCATATCGAAATAGAGAACATTCTTCATTAAATTAGCAAAAGAATAGGCAGAAAACCCTACCTGCCACCTCTTTGCATTTAAATATGAAACAGAGGGCTGGGATATCAGAGATCACTTTGCTTAGAGACTTGTACAGTTTAACTCATGTCCACCCTTATGTTCATGATATTTGTTTCTAGGTGAGCCGCCCAGTGACAGAAAAAGCCCCAAATGTCCTGAAGATTGAATGTGATGAATGTTGCCTGACACTGTCAGCAAGGTACTGTCTCCAAACTGCCATAGCAGAAGCTACATTCTAGCTAAATCTCTCTCTCAGTCTAACCAATATCCTATTCTTAACTAGTGTTTAATTCTTTTTAAACTTGGTTTTGGACCATGCTGTTGGGATAGTGTCTGAGTGCTTGATTCCACAGCTATGATATTCATTATAAATGCAAAGATCATAAGCTAATTCAGTTCATTTAACAAGTGTAGATTAGAACTCAGCTCCTGACAATGTTTTCAAGAGAGGAAAGAAGAAAATCTCTTAAGAAAACTGAATTCTTTCAATTGATCTTTCACATTCTTTTCTTGTAATTCCAGGAGTATATTACATCTGTCTTTCACAATTACACTCTTTAGTTCATACCACTAATATTACAAAATTGTTGGAGAAAATAGAAACTAGGTAATATTGTGCATTAGATATAAAAGCACTTAGTAGTGCATAAATTACAAAGCCAAAATTAAACTTCACTGGCAACCTCATGGGTCTTTCTATTAAAAAGATCTTCACTATTGTATTTGTGTAGTGTTAGTACTAATTGCAACTGGGAGTCAGTATCTCTACTCTGGTATTATAAACTAATGGCAGAAAGAGATTATAGGTCAGTGTTTGACCAAAAGATGAAGACAGACAAGACAGACAAGCAGTGTACTGTATTTTCATGCTTCTTGTCCAAAACTATCTTGCGAACTTAACTAGATCTACAGCAGAAAGGTGGATGGATTGATTTTCAGATGTAGTTTACTATAAAAGACATCCTGGTAGCAATGGTATTAAAATTCTTTAAATAAAAAAGCCTTCAAAGCTTTAAGTACTTTTACACCATAGGTCTCTAAATACAGCATGGCTGGAAGCATCAGACTTTCCTTAACTACACAGTGCAATAAGTAGACAGGGAGGGCACTTTCTTTTTCAATCAGAATTTGAAGCTCTTATTTTCCTAGGAACACTTGCAGTCTGTGGGCAATGCTCAGATACCTGTCAAAGCCTTTTTGTCTGGTTCCTTTTATAACCAGCAAAAGAGAAAGTATCTGAGATTTTCTTAGATCTGCATTCTTATCACAACCTTCAAAATATGCACACAGTACTTTTGAATTACCTGCTGACAATTACAAAAGCAAATGGAAAGAGTTTCTTTGCTGTAGAGGGGAAGTAGCTGCTGCATGTGCCCTCTATCCTGGGCGACTGAAGTTGGCATCTCTAGGAAGACACCTGGGATGCTCTGCTTTTGTGCTCATGTCAAGTCTGCTTAGTTAGCCCAAACTAAACATGTGTGACCATCAGAATCTATGTTTCTTCAGTAGTAAACAGAATCAGGGCTGAGGCTGAGGTCACCCTTCTGATAACAGCTGGATTGAAATTGACTCTTATCTGAACACTGGGATAGAGATCTTTTGTTTTCCTTGTGCTGCTCATTCTGGGACCAATCTGCCCTAGGAACAAACTGATATTTCCTCCTCTCCCTTTCTGTGCTGGCTGACAGAGCTGATGAGATACCAGTGGGACAGCATACCATCCTAACCACAGTGCTGTACTCACCAAAAGGAGCACCAAAGACAGAAAAGTATTAGAAGGCTTCAAGCATCCCTGAAGACTGCATCTTTTATCGTTTGCGTGGCAGTGCTCCTGGCCTGTGCAGAAGGCCAGTTGTTGACAATCGCAACCCAAGTCTCTGTGCTTTTACACTTGCAGAAGACAAGGTGAATGTGCACTGTACAAAGGCAGTAAAAACATCAAAAGTTGGCATAAATATATGAGAAGGCAGCATTGCAAAGCCTTTGTGTCTCCCGTTGAAAAGTTATGTTCTGACCTTACATTAAGCTGACAATAGATCTGATCACAGAGCCTTTATGGAGAAAGCTGATACTGTTGTTAGACTGATATTTACACATCAAAATATGCTTGGACGCAGGGGTAACCGTCTACTGCCATTATGAAACAGCAGAGCACCGGGAGAAAGCAGACAGTATCTCTTCCCTAAGGGGCTAACATGGAGCAACAGTGACAAAATCCCATCCCAGTTCAGCTTTTTGTATTCTCTGGCTGCCCCCTGCTGGACGGGAGAGTGCAGTGACAGTGTGACCCTCTATTTGCCTGAGGAAGAGTATAGGGGGCAACACAGGGATAACTGATAGTGTAGCACAAAGGTGCAGTCATACTCAGGCTGAAACGTAGCAATGATGAATCAAAGTCAGAGGTTGTTTGAGTCTCAGAAGTTTAGCAAAAACTTATCTGAGCCTTCTTATGACCAGTGAAATAGCTAACTGAGAGGCCAGTGTCCAGTGACTTAATTTATCTTATTCATCAGCAGATGAATGCTATTCCCACATTTATTAGGTTAATAATCTGTGATTGCTGACTGGAGATGTTTAGTGGAACAGAGGAGAGGTTAAAGGTATGCATTAGATAACAGGCTTTTACTAGCACATTTCCCTCTTGTCTGTCTTCATCTCTTCACCAAAGAGGATTTAATTTACATCAGTGTAGAATTTCTCTTTATTTGTTTGTTTTGCACTGTAAGGGACTTATTCTGTTTTTCAAATCAGATCTTAATTTGCAAGAATTAGGAATTCTCAAAGAATTTCCAAGAATTATAAAGGTTGAAGCCAGGACTTGCCTCTGTTAGCGCTTTGCAGGCTTTGAACATGTTTCATCTTGAAAATACAGGTATCTCCTTGAGATTTTCTAGAAAGCATAATTTGATTAGACTTCTGATAGTAATAAGGACTGATTAGTAGTGTGACTCTTGTCAGACGTTATCTCCTGTATCATAGGCCCTTGGCATGCAGAGGTTAGCAAATATGATTTACTCTTTCGGGATCTCTTTGCTGCAACAAGCCTGTTGAATTTTATAGAAGCTTTATGCTCAGAGTGCAGAGGAATGCCAAAGTCAAGGATCGTTGATCAAATGTAGCATTTCCTAGCTCTCATTTTTTTTTTTTTTAATTTAAGATCACAGAAAACAAATTATTCTTAGATATCTTGTTTGGTGGCCATAGTGTGTCAAAGCTACAGCTGAACAGCAATTGGCAGTGATGCCAAATACTAATTTTTAAAAGCAACTCTAGTAGGTAGCTTTCATGAAAGTGGCTGGTATAGCTCAGAGATGAGAACACACTGAGATATATCTGTTCCATTGATTGATGCTGGCAACAGCCAGAGCTGTGTACAGTTTTCAGATAAACAGTATGCACAGTTTGAAGTCATGGCATGAAAACCATCTAACATCCATCTAACACATGCAGCACGGCTAATAGTTCAAAAAGAGCAAATGCATTTGATGAGTAACAGGCATTAAGGGCCCTGCTGCTTTTCTAGGATGGCTGGGCTAGTAGAGAAGCAGAGTGCTTCACTATTTCATCTAGTGCGAGGGGGGCAGCTTGGGGCCAGATTGGAGAACTGTTAGCCTCCCTGCGTAACTGCAACTCAGGGGAATGCAGGATTTGCTTTCTGAATTGCTGTCTTGGTCTCCTGCCAGGAGCATGGAGCTTGTCTGTGATTGAGCTAGAGAAAAATGAAAGCATTCACAACTTTACCATGAGTGACAGATTTCTCATTTCCTAACATGCAGATCACCTAAGCATCTCATACTATGTGCCCCAGAGAGCATAATAACTAGGATGAACACAAAAGAAGAAACACTTTTATCTCCAATGTTATCTAGGATTGAGCAGTTCATAGCAAAGTCAGAGACTACTTTGAAAGAAGAAAAAAAAAAAGAGAGAATGCAGTGCCTTCTCAGTCACAGTAATAACCGTAGAGCTATCCTAATCATCCAGCTGAAAAAGTGCAAGTCAGTTTTGTTCTTTGCTTTGAAATTACTGATTCAGTGCACTAGCGAGTAAAAGTTCAGAAAGTGAAGACTTTCTCCTCTGATCCAAAAACTGCTTGTTTTTGTACTTATGTAGATGGCATTAACTGCTTTGTTGTATTTCATTCCACAGCTCTTGCTTGGAAAGGGATGACTGGTACAGCTGTATCAGCAGACACATCCCAGATGACTACAAAGCTCACAATACTTCCACCTTCCACAGCAATGTGGAGGTAAGAAGAAGCTGAATCTTTCAATGCTTAAAGGGGAAAGAGAAATGGGAAAGGAAGAAGTTAGAAAATGCTAAAATGCAGTTACTTGGGCAAGATATCCTTAGTAATTCCATTAAGATCAGAATGCCAAGCCTAAATGACAAAGCTTATTACAGTGCATGGCTTTAGCTTTAGAGACCACCTCTGGAATGTTAATCACAGTCTGTATTCTGTGGTCTTTGCTTAAATACAAGTTCACCTGGAGGAAGACTAACAAAATTTGTTCCCAAACAGTAACCATCTTGAATGGTCTAAAAATAGGTACAAATTCTTATCCTGGTTTCAGATGGAATGGAGTAGATTTTCTTCGTAGTAGCTGGTATAATGCTATGTTTTGGCTTTTAGAGAAAAATGAGCCTATTTTAGTTGTTGCTGAGATGTGCTGCACACAGCCAAGGACATTTCAGCTTCCCCTACTGTACTGTCAGGGGGAACTGGGCGTGCACAAGAAGCTGGGAAAGGACAGAACAAGGACAGCTGACCTAAACCAACCATACCTTATGACATCATGTGAAAAAGCTATAAAACTGGAGGTGTTTGCTGGGGAGAAGAGAACCATTGCTTGGGAACTAGCTGGGCATTGTTCAGTAGGTGGTGAGCAATTGCACTGTGCATCACTTGTTTTGTACACATCCACACACACATATAGAGAGAGAAAACTGGGATCAGTTTCATATTGACCATGGCTCCATAGGCTTTAGAGAACAGGCAGACACATGCACAACTGCAGCTTTGTGTACTCTGAGAAAAAGGAATAATAAAATATTTTATATAGTTGTTCCATATATCCAGATCTGCCATGGAAAGCACAGATTATGTTTGGATTCTGTGGGGATAAATTCCTTTTTGTGCGCATCATGGTTTGCACTGGAAAATAAACAAGTTTGTACTAATTTTTGGTACTTTCTCTTCTGCATTCATAAAACTGCCCCAAAGTGTAATGAAATACTGAACTTGGCTTCTTTGCTGCTGAAAACTATGGAGCTGGAGTTTTTTAGGGTCGGCATTTCAGAAACTGACAAGAAAAAGATGGCTCATGACCTTGTCTGCAGTTTGCATATGCAATGAATAAGGTCCTTGCCTCACATGGAAGGTTGTCAGTGACTGACCAATAACAGATCTATATTCATTGTTATCTGTTTTGACTGCCTTTCACAGCACCATATATTGATGGCCATAGACTTTCAGTGCAGAAGCACCTGCTGAAGCACTTAGAATCTGTATATCACTGCACCTATATCTTACTGCATTAAGAATCGAAAAACTGGGTATTCTAGCAGGTGAACTGTAATGACAGAATTGCAGTATGGGGAGGATTGAATGGGTGTACTTTGGGAGTGTGGATGCTTCTTGATTTGTTCTTCTTTGATTTTAAGTTACGGGAAAGGCTTGGAATACCCTTGGGTGAGAGGCCTCCTACTTTGGTACCTGTATCCCATGTTATGATGTGCATGAACTGTGGCTGTGACTTTACCCTCACTTTGAGGCGACATCATTGCCACGCCTGTGGGAAGGTAAGAGCTGCACAAGATCCTTAGGGAGGCTTTATTCACACTACTAAGATGGTGGCTGCCACCACTCTAATTTCTGCAAGCTTTTTGCAATATCAAGACCAGAATTTAACTTTCCACAGAACTTGTTAATGCACTGCTATGTTAGGTAGTTAGGTTTCTAATGACTAGTATGCAACTAAAATCTGTGTTGTGTGATTCTGGTTGGCTTAGATCAGTGTAAATCTACAGTAATTATAGTTCAAGCAATAGATTTACCCTGACTGACACAGATGTAGCAAAGCTGTATCTGCTCCACCATCCTTCTCTCCTAAACAACTCAGAGGATTTGTTTTATATGTGCATATATATCAATTAAAATTATATCCTTTCTGGAGCAGATTGTATGTCGAAACTGTTCAAGAAACAAGTACCCTATGAAGTACCTCAGAGATCAAGCAGCCAAAGTCTGTGACAGCTGCTATGTGGAATTGAAGAAAAGAGGTAAAGTTCCTCCATTCTTGGCAAAATTGACAAATATACTGTCTATTTGTATAACGGAGACGCTTTTAGGACCTACCTGCTATATTGACCTTTGTGACAGAGGATTTCTCATTTCAACCACAATTCTTGTGTATTGAGGTCCCAAAAGTCCCAGACTGTAAGGCAGCTAAAATTGTTTTAGCAAGCCAGGTTCTCCAAGGGTTTCCCTGGCCTTTTGATAAGCCAGTATAACAGCAAGAAGTGTGAGATGTAAACATTAGAGCTGATAGCTGTTCCCTGTAATTTCTAGTGAATTATCCATCAAAGAAAAACAGTGGCTTCACTGTACTTGTTTTGTCCTTATCCTTGTTGCTTTTACAACAAGGAATGATGAGATAAAGTGCAGAGCCACTAAGAGCTTTTCACATAGGAAGTCAATCTGGAAACAGATGGAAGCAGAAATTCCTGACAGTAGAGCTACTGCCTAACTAGAACTCTCTGTATTACTATATGAGTCCATGTTCTAATTTAAATACACATTCAAATCAAGATAAATTGGGGGGCAGTTGAGGGATTTATATATATAATTGTGGGAAATGGCTCTATACCCAGGTGGAGGCCAGGGATGAGTATTGTCCTCCAGGTGTCTGTCTTAGGACTGGTGCTCTTCAACATCTTTATCAGTGTGACTGGGATAGTGTTACTGAGTGCACTCCCAGCAAGTTTACTGATGACACCATGCTGAGTGGTGCAGTTAATACAGTAGAAGGAAGGGATGCCATCCAAAGGGACCTGTATTCTTGCTTTGCCAAATTCTCTTTCAGACTGTTTTCAAGTAGCTGTAGGTTATTACCAGTACTTGAGGGTGCTATGAAATCCAGCCAGCTAACCAAACTTAACAGTAATGTGAAGGAAATGCTGAAATAAAAACCAGCTACAGAGGAGATGGTTGTTTGTGCTAGTGAGGCATGTATCTCTTACCCCTTGTATGACATACAGCAATTCATCCATTTCTCCCTTCCCTTCTGAATTTTCTTTATCTTCCAGAGCGGCCACTAAGTATGAGCTTTCCTCCAACTTCATCCAGGTGTTCAAGCAGTGCCTTCTCTTCGGTCTTCCACAATATCCATTACTCATCTTTCAAGAAACAGAAAAAGATCCCATCAGCTCTTACAGAGGTAGGACCAAGCTGACTAAGAAAGGCAAGGAACTGCTGAGAACTACATGCTGAGATTTCAGCAGCTGTGTTTATAATTTATTCTGCAAGCAATGGGCTCATACCATGCTCTAGTCATCATCGTGCAATTATTTTTTTCTGTTTTTCACACTAATGTTTCAAACATACAGTACTCTGAACTCTGGAGACAGCTCACAAACTTCTTCAGCCTACTGAGAAACCCGAATTATAGCAGTGTGTGTTTCCTCATCAACCTGTATCATTTTTAGAAAACTAAGACCTCATGGTATTAGCTGGTACAAGGAGGCTGGTACAAGGTACACAGCCTTCACAAGTATCAACAGAGCACGATTTGCCATTGACTAGTTACTTTTTACGAAATTGACAAGAACCCTTATATCCATAGTATCAATAGTATTAATCAGTAACTTTTTCTCATTAGCTTTAGCCAGGACCTGGAACGCTTTTGTTCTGCTACAAAACACTGTTGTGTGATACTGCTCAGTCTTCTGTCTTGTCAGAAAGACTGGTTTTGAACCTCTGGTATTTTTTTCTGATTTGGTATCCTTGCAGTTTGATACTGCAATTAATTGTATATACTGTGTGTGTGTGTGTATGTGTACGTATACTTCCCTCTACCCAAAATGTGGATCTTTAAGGTCATTAATGAATTAGATCTCAAAATAGGTCTGTGAGAGGGGTAACTTTCCTCAGAAATATTATTTCTCTAATGAAATCAAGTCATAATCAAGTTATTAACATAAGTTAATATAAAAATATTGTGAAGTCCAAAATATAACGACGTCTTAAAGGTGGACTGTCCTTCCTTACTGGAAGCATCATTTTTTACTATACTACCTCACCCAACAAAAAGAGCTGGGAGGAAGGATGAGTTCATTTTCTCAGAATACAATTGTAAACTTGTTCTCAGTAACAAGTCAATTGCACGTTTTCCACGTGTTACTAAGAACAAAGTTTAACATCTTCAAACAGTGGGGAAAAAAAAAAAAAAGAACAGAAATAACATAAGTGTGATATTACTCTATCCATTCATATCAGGAAGGAAAAGGCCTCTGCTGTCATAAATCCTGATTTCTCCCACTCTCCTTCAGGTCACAGCCTCAGGAGAGGGAGCTACCATCAGTGGTTACCTGGCCAGATGTAAGAGAGGCAAAAGACACTGGAAGAAACGCTGGTTTGTCATCAAAGGCAAAGTCCTCTACACCTACATAGCAAATGAGGTACTGTGCAATCTAACTTAAAATTCAGTAAGGAAAATATTTTATCATTTACGCTCTGCAGTCAGCAGAAGTAAATGTGAAAGGTATAAGTGGTGGTTCGCACAGCCAACTGCCTCTAAGAACTGGTTCTAATGGACTAGGCCCCTAAGCAGTTACTTCTAGCTGAAAGGCTCAGCCCCATCCCTGGGTGGATCTCAGCAACCTTTTTACAAACTGCCTTTCATTATTTGATTTATTTATTTATTTATTTTTGCTGTTCATGTTGCTATATACTGTCAGCCTGAGCCTAGGTATTTACATATAAAGACTTCAAGGTAATTGACAGATTTTTTTTTCTTTTCTGTAGATATAGGGTGCTATAATCTATTTCTGCTGGAGGGAGGAGTCTTGTGTGTGTACATAAGATATACTGATCCTACTGGTATTAACTGGGAAAGATAGGATAGTCTGCAGAGATGAGAATGCAGCTTTCTCTTTTGACCTCTAAGTTCCTCTTCGTAGCTGAGGAGGCTGGCTTTCCAACAGACTTTTAATGTATTTTTTTCTCAGCCCAGTCCCTTTTCTCAATTTTATTTCTTCTCCAATTGAGTAGCTGCAGTGCCAGTAAGCCTGAAGTGAATACATTACAAGGAGTGGTTGTAACTGACAGAGTTTGTAAGTAGAAGCATAAAAAATGATTTTGCTGGATACAGAATGCTAGAACTGTAGTAACAGCAATACTTAATATTTTAAGTCTTCAGAACACTTTGGAAATATCAATCACTTAAATTCAGCAGTGTGAGGAATGTAGCATCATTAATTATCCCTCTGAAACAGATGAGGAGATTGAGACAAAAATATTCGTGGTCTGGCCATCACTGAAAACTTAACAGCTTTCTTCAGTAGTGTGACGTATAATTTGTTACCTCCTTACTTTTTCTACCTGATTTGTTTCTACTTAGGCCACATAATCTTGAACTTGACTTTTTTCCAAGGCCCTGCAGTCTCTCAGCAATTCAGACTGTTAGCATCCAGCTCTGTATTCAGTACACTTATCTGCCCTAATCTTAGAAGTGATCACTTTTGTTTGGTGATAGGGAAAGAGCAATGGATGGCTAGTTACACTTTTTATTCCCAGCTTACAACTGAGCTTCTAAGAGCAGAAGCAAAGGCAACATACACATATAAAAAACATTATAGTGACCACAGTTGCGGCTTTCAGTGAAGCTAAAATTGAGTTTGATTAATACTTATTGTTATTGGCAGAACAAAAACCACAGCTGTATACTGGGGGTAAGTTAACGCTGAATTACATAACCAGTTCCAAGATTTTGAAGCAGTGTTGTTCAAAGTGAGCTATGCTATCTGATGTGCAGAGTTTTAAGAAAAAACATTGCTAGTGCTATAAAAAGAAATTATAAGGTACAAAGCAGACTACTACTTGCATTCAGCAAACAAAAATAGCTTGAAGTAATACATCTAAGACTGAGCCCATTTCAAGCTTTCAAGAGTGCTTCTGCACTTTCCCACATTGCCAGTAACTCATAGGTTGCTTTTCATAGGTTGCTTCCTGGACCATTATGTCAAAGTAGTCACTGAAGTAATGGGTAATCTGACTTTTTGGATGGCCACGAATAACTGGCTTTTTAGAGGTGCTGCTAAGGTTGAAGACTATATGAACATGTGCATTGCTCCTGTTTAAGAGTCACCAGTTCAGCAGAAGATTCATCTTACTGCTTTTGCAGCACAGGCAGTGTTTACATATGATTGTTTTTCAGAAAGACCCTTAAACTGCTATAGGCTTCTCTCTAATTTTTGGTTCACTTCTTCTTTGCTTTCAGGACAAAGTTGCCACAGAAAGTTTGCCTTTGTTGGGTTTCACTGTTGCCCCAGAAAAGGAGGAAGGATGTGTGGGTACAGTTTTCCATCTCTATCACAAGCAAACTCTGTTTTATAGCTTCCGAGCAGATGATAACTATTCAGCACAGAGGTAAGGGAATAGATGTCCATGCTAGTGAGCATGTAGATCCAAAAGCTTATGTAGAGTTTCTCCTCTCCTTTGCTTCCTACCCTAACAGAGGAAAACAAATGGCTTTCAGAGTGTTGGCTAAGCCCAATTGAATGCAACTGCCATTAGTGATGAAAAATCTACCTTTTTTTCACTCCTCTGTTTAAGTAGAAAGAAGGCTGAGCCTCAAGAATCATAGTCTTCCAGTCAAATATAATTTTTGTATGGGAGCTTCCCCGATTTGTGTTCTATTTATCCACCTCTTAGTTTGCTCATCAACAAACAATTGTACAGATTTTGCAGTTTATTGCTACTCTAGTACTTCTATATAATAAAATAATCATGAAACTTGTAATAAAAATGCCAGTGCCTTAAGGCACATGAGAAGAAAATTTGTATTTATGGGAGATTTCGTTTCTTTTAAACATAATTCAGTCATTTCATATTTTCTATTCTAATTACAAAACTATAGCTACAGTCCTCTTCAGGCTTTATGTTCTTAAAATATACATTTTTGAAAGAAATAATTTTTCATGTACCACTCTTTCTTTCCTGCCCTTTTTAGGTGGATTGAAGCCATGGAAGAAGCATCCATATTATAGCAACTATCACTCAATGGACTTAGAATACTAATTCTCAGATTTCTATACAATCCAAGCAATCTTATGTCTTACAAAACTGAACGGTGTATTTCAGGCAAACTGGCGACAAACACTGGACATGAACTGTTTCCAGATTGCTGTCTGCTTCCTTCCTCCTCTTCCTCTTACTTTTCCTCCCACCCCCCCCAAAAAACCCTTTTAAAATAGGGAATGTTTTGGTGACCCTTTATGCCTGTCCAAGTTCAGCCCGTGCTGTAAGCTTTCCTATGATCCCATGGTAAGCTAAATTTAACATTAAGGAAAGAAAAAGCCATGGAAGTAGTGACTACAGTAAGCAGCAGGATCACTTTTACTTATTGTAGAGCACTGTCATATTTCACTGGGTTGGTTTTGGAGTCTACCATGGAATTTGAAACAATGTAGTAAACAACAAATACTCATTTAAAGCACTTTATTATTTTCACTCAACTACAGTTTAATCTTTTCATATTTCCATGGAGTTTGGTGGACCGATTTATTGTTCATCCATTAACAAATGCCAGCATGAAATTATGCCACGCATATGGTGAATTGTTTCTACAGAAAAGGAATGAACAAAAATGCTCCATTTACCCAGTCTTCCACCATTGCACTAGCTATGATCCAGAATAATTACTTACTATCCATTTATAATTCGACACAAATCACTGTATAACTTATTTTAAAGTGTTTACTTTCATATCACTACAGTATTTTGAAATGCACTATAGTTGCTCTGCAGTCCAGACATTGAATAGTATCATGTCACCCTGAATACCGTGTCAGATTCAAACCCGAAAGATATTTTAATTTATTATAAACCCACAGACAACTTTTATTTAACACTAATCTACCTATCAGTGTTAAGATTTGTATCATTTATTTAAATATTCTATCTTTATTTTCAGTCCTCCTGATGTTTCTGCCGTTGTTGTTATGGAAAAAATGTCATCAAAACTTTAATTCATGTAACAAGTGAATCATTTGAAATATGCTGGTGGGGTGAAATGTGCTTGTCTGAACCTTCTCTGATAAGAGTGCTTTGGAACTCCTCTGGCTAAATGTATCTTACTACACTGCCAGGGCTGGAGTTCTAGCAGCCCAGTGGCACAGCCCAGTGGCAGTATGGCTTCAGATGTGTGCTGGTTTTACACTAGCTGAAGATGTCAAAGTTTTGGTTTCTGTTTCTTTTTTTTGGCTGGTTGGCTATTGTTCAATGAAGGTTGAGAAGTGATGTTATAATCATTGCAATAAAATGATTTTGTGTTCTATGTTTGTCATAAAATCTGACTGCGAATAGAATGGCAATTATGATTAAAATATATCTTTCTACAAAAATAAAATGCTCAAGAATTTTCTTACATTAAAATACATTGTGGGGCAGAGGGAGGGGAAGAAACTTTACTACCTTCATTTTTCCTTTCTTCATTAAACTTGATTAATAGACTGGCTAGAATTTTTCCTTATTTTTTAAGATTTGTAATATATCTCCAAATGATAAAGGTAGTTCAATTTATCACCTAGAAAACCAAGCTTAAAAAACAAATACAAGTCTACCACTAAATAAAAACATACTTGTATTGTCTGGGTTTTTTTTTGTTTATGATACATCTGCTAGTATGATAACTCTGAAATGAAACTAACTGATAGTTTCATAAAACACAGATTGCCATAGGATAACAGAAATCAAGTATGTCTCATGTTAGAACTTCAGCCTTATTAGCAAAATTTCTAACCATGGCCCCAAACAAAAGTCTGCACTACAGGACAACAGTACTTTGAAGATTTAGGTGCTGACATCTTGTGACTGTTGTTTGAAGTTTTTCAGTAAGACACAGGAAATGAATACACAAAAATATTTTGTTGTAAAAAAAATAAGATACAGTGCTATTAAGCATTGTCTGATATAATGTGTAAAAAAAGAGCAAAATGTAACTGCAGTTCTACAGGCTTTCCCATTATATTATTTTTACCTTAACTCCAATTCCAGTTATTGTTAACAGACACACGGTATTAACCAATTCTCTAACAAACTGAGTTTGAATTAGAAGACAGTAGTTGAGGTCTTCTTGTGAAGACAGGATTCAGACAATAGCAATGAACAAGTGTTTCAATTCACATTAGATTTCAACTTGTTGAGCCAGGCTGCCTGTCAACACTACTTCAGTTACAGATATAAATGGGCTTAATATATCACAAAGCAAGAAAAATAATAAAGAAAATGCCCTCATATTTTCAGTTTAATTGAATCTAATTTGATCAAAGCTAAGCACCAAAGACAAAAACTGTCTTAATTTCAAGAGCTAATCCAGTAATCACTTTTATAGTTTTAACATTGAAATAGAGGTTTTTGGACAGCTATTTATTTGCAAGTAGCTCAGTACATTTCTTCCTAACGTGTACCAAGCCTCGCTCTCTCTGAAAAAAAAAATTCACAACTTTGTAAGCATAAAAAAAATCTGTAATAATGCACAACGTACTAGCTAATCAGTCAATAGTTTTGATGCAAACTGGCTTAGTTTATCGTTTCATGTGTTTTTGTTTATTTTGCCACCTACTGGAAAGCATTACGTGGATTAATGGCTTCCTGCAATCAGTGTTTAGATATATCTTACAGTACATGCCTATTTAAAATCCATCTTTTATACGGTTATTATAATCGTTTTTCCAAATCAAAGTATAAATCATACAGCAGAGTTAGAGTGCTCCATCGTGACAAGATTCCATGCCATTGTAACCAAGTACTGCTAGTCAAGAAGGTCCTGGGATCACCACCCCTCTGAGCTGATCCTGGATCACATTTAGGATGGAAGAACAACACAAAGCTACAAACACCAAGAGGGCTTTTCCCATTTGCGTGCTGCTTTGGTGCAAAACAAACAAAGACCTGTCTCTTTATAGCCACATAAAAACAGGAGAAAAAGCTATTCCCTGTGTCAGTCTTAAAACACTAATCTAACTTCACAATTTACCTTTATAATTTACTATATCAGATAATCTTCTGTGTATTAAAAACAGTGTGATCCTTCAGTGTGAATGACATTAAGACAACAATTTGGATCAAGGTTTGAGAAGAAAGTTTCTAGACTTCAGGGCAGGCTTACAGTCCCACTTACGGCAACTATGATAACATTAGACTTTTCCTGAAAGCACTGTTGCACAAATATTCTGCAAGTCTTCCCTTTCTACAGAATACAAAACACCTGGAAGCAATAAAAATTAACAACATTCTCATTCTTTGCCATGCTTTATTTTTATTATTGTTACTAAGTGACAATAAGTTTCGATAGCTTGTTTCCAGAGAAGTTTTGCAAGTTGTTTCCAATGTACACATGCTTTGGAGAGGCATGGAGTACATTTAAAATAAACGCATTCTGATTTTTTTTCATCTATTTGCTTGTAATACTACACTTTATGTTCTTTCCTCACTCCTTTTTAAGTTAAAGGAAACTGGAAGGACAGATTAAAATAACTAGCAACAGTCCATATTTTTGTTTCACCTGCTGTGTGCTACATTATTAATAGCAGTACTTCCCAGCAGATAAGCGTTATCTTCAGGAGAACAGCAGGAGAAGTGAAATTACTCTGTATCCATACTGACAGCCACTATAGAGCAGTTAGGTTCTGCACTAAGTATTCCAAATTGAAAGTTTGCTTCAGGTGAATTTGGGGACAGGGTTAGGATTTTACAGTGCTCTTGCCCTCCACAGACTTTAATGGACAGCATTTCTCTTAGAGCTACTTTTTACAATTTATATAATTTACTTTTATTAATGAACACATTAAAACAATAAAATTAAGAAAACACTTCTAGATTATTCTCAGCAAAGTTTCATTTCAAATTACAGCCACTACATGATAAATACTAATTTCTTAGATCAACAAGTTGAAATTCCTATAGTCAGAAATACAATTCTCACAAAGAGCAGATAGAGCAATGACAAAGCAAGACTACATAACCACGAGTCTTTATCTGGATGTGAATGTGTGTAGCGTGGCCAAATGCTTCCCTGGACTACACTGTGGTATCATGTATGTTATACATTCCATACTTCTACATGCTATCTGGAATATTTTTGCCTTTCTTCCAATCTCTCCAAAAGCCTAATGGCTGCAGTCAGTGTGGGACTTCACTGCTAACCAAGATCTTTAAAAAATTACAGTTTTTTTTTTTTTTAAAGTTGTAAAGCAGCAAAAAACAAAACAAAACAAAACAAAAAAGTGGAGCGCCTTTCACATGAAGTATGCTATGTACATCAGCTTTCACAGCACTTGATTCAGATTCCTGACACAACATCTCCCCATATTTTTCACCACAGCAGCAAGACAGAGTCTGAAAGTGTTTGACCACATTAAAGGAAGTCTTACTTAATCTCTGCAATTTCACGACTTTCTATTCTGCCTCAGAAACATTGAAACTGCTCTGCGTGTTCGTTAGTATGAAATTGATTGCTTTTCAACGACGTATGTGCCTTCCCTTTTAAAATACAATTTAAAAACCAGGTCAGTTCACTTGTACTTTCAGAAGGCCGTAACACCACATCAAATAAAAAGACAACAGCCACATACAAGCCTAAGTGTGCAGGCAGGATTAACTGAGCAATGACTTCAGTAGCATAAAGAGGGCCATCAGACAGGTTGGAGCACAAGACAAAGGAATCAGCGGAGCTGTAATATAATGAATTAGATGGTGGAAAATAGCAGAAGCACTCAAGCTCCTGAAAAATAAGCAGATCTGGTAGGAATATAAGCGTGGCATTTCAGCACAGAGGGAAGCCATCGTGTTCTCCAGCATTCTCAGTGTCCTTCTACAGCACTCCGTGCTTCTACCATTTTACATTTCTCTGCTCTCATGCTCGCAGAATTACTAGAGAGAACAGCTGAAAGGCAAATGCCATGAACTGGATAAGAATGCCTAAGTGACATTGCATCTTTGACACTGCACATTCATTTTTTTTGTATTGTGCTAAAAACTGTTTTCCCTGAGTTTATAAAACATTAATTTGTATTTTTTAATTTCCTTTTTTTTAAATTATTTTTTAAATCAACAAGTAATCTAGAGCTAGTATTTGTTTTGTTAGCCCCAGAATTTCCTTGTACATAAGCGTTTTCTTTCCCTTCCTTTTTTTTTTTTTCCTTTTTTTTTTTTTTTTTTACATTTGCAGTGTTTTTCTCAACATTTAATAAAACTTTCCATGTTTAGATTTTTTTTTTTTTTCCCTTCAACATACAGCACATAAAAGATAAGATCCAGTAATATTTTTTAGGATATTTTACTCAGAGGAATAGTCCCCTGCTATACAAGCAATACTGCAATTCCGGTCAGCACATGAGTATCATGAGCCCAAGAAACTGTTCCTCCTTCATTCCAGAATAAAATACCTCACCAACAGCTAAATAGCAGTTTGCTTGGAAATGCAGTTAAGACTATTTGGGACGCAAGCTGAAGTAAGATTTTTCTACAGTCCACAATGCCTATAGCAGGCAGCAATTCATTTTGCAAAGAGACAACTAAGGAGAAATGAGGGCAACCAGCCCAAGAAGGAGGTCACTACTTCCCTTAGTGCAGCACAGCCATGCTCAAAGCTGGACACAAAGCACAAGAGCTTATGTTCAAAATCATCTACTAAACACATTAAAAGAGATTTAAATTGAATGTAGCATGAACAAAACCAAGTCGTTTATATTGTTAAAATCTTAGTCTTTTATAACTGTGTTGAATTCATGTACATCCTGAGTTCTTCTATGCTAAATAACAGCTTTGCTCATTACATTTTCCTAGGAAATTTCAGGAAAATTGTGCAAGAACTTCAATCATATGAAATGACAACTTTTAAAAGTTCAGAAGAGCTCTGTCGATCCCAAAGATTTAAAACACATGAATAACCTTAAATTCTGCTTTCATTTTGTAGTTCTTGGCCTCTCATAACTTCCGATCCGCTCCTCAGCCATGACATACTTTCACAGCCAATGCCACCTCTATGACCGGAGGAGGGTTCGTAGCCTGTGCCACAGACACGCATACAGCCCAATGTTTGCAGTCAATGGTTCTGCCCACATCTAAAACAACCTTTCCTCTCTGTGAGCACATACATTTTCCCACCTCAGCTCTGATCCACGATGAAGTCAATCTGTTTTCCTGGGCACAAAGCCGCTTATATGAGGTGTCTCCCCTCCTCTGCTTCTGTGGCAGTTTGCAGAGCATTTTTCTTCTCAGTCATATATTGCATAGAAAGGACAATGGAAAACATCCAATGGTATTGGAAGCA